CTGGTAGACCCAGAAGTGCTCGGATACCTGAAAATGTTGCAGCTGTAAGAGAAGCAGTTGAAAGATACCCCTTCATCTGCTAGACATTCCTCAGCTTTGCATTTGTCAGAACGTTGTGTGAGAAGATTTTTTTTTGTGCAAGAACTTAGTCAGCGGGACTGGGGAAATCGCAAAGCATGTCCCAACGATATTCTTCAAAACGTCCCACAAAATGCTCTTTTGATAACGAGTGACGAAGCTCATTTCCATTTGTCTGGCTGTGTGAACAAGTAGAATTTTCGCTACTGGACACCAAAAAATCCGCGGCAGCTCCATGAAAGGCCACTTCATAGCCCACGTGTTACCGTTTGGTGTGCTGTTGGATCTTTTGGCGTTTGGGGTCCCTATTTTTTTGAAGAGAGAGGCGTAACGGTTACCGTAACTGCCGATCGATATGTCGACATGCTACGCAACTTTTAGCAACCAATACTTAGAGAACTTGAACATCCGGATGTGTGGTTTCAACAGGATGAAGCTACGGCTCATACGGCAAGATTTGTGCTGGACGTTTTAAGAGAAATGTTTCCAGGACACGTAATCTCGTTACGTGAGATGGCTTACGTGTTCACCCGATCTTGCCCCATGCGACTTTTTCCTTTGGGGCTACATGAAAGCGAAGGTTTTTCAACATCATCCCCGAACGAAATTCATTGACGAATTGAAATACCATTTACAATGGCGTTTTTATTAAAGGCTTAAATTTACCACACGACGCGACACAGCACGAACACGTGCGGCGCAGTGGCAGTGCCTCAGTTTTTCGCGCAGCCCGTGCCACGAGTTGGATTAGTTGTGTAATGATACCGGACGTATCGATACTAGAACCATCAAGGAGTAAAAATTTGGAAAGTCAGGACGAGGGATCTGCTCGTAGTGAAAACGCAGAGTTCACTCAACTGAATTGTAATGGAAAACTGTCAATTGATGGGGAAAGAACTGTCGCTGAGCAACCCCTAGGTTCCATTGGAGACAATGGTGATGGAAAAAGGAAGCTTGCAACTGCATCATCACCTCTGACTCCAAATTTAACACCACAGACCCCGTGGAAAAAGAAAAAAACACGGTACCATCGGCATCTTCTGATTCTGAGTAGCTGTTCGAGCTGTACTATATTAATATCACCACATATTGCTTCGAAAGCATTTTGTTTAGTTTGTTTATCCAATAGTTATTGTTTTTTGCCCTGGGTTGGGAGTAAAGACTTCATTCAAATGTTTAAAAAACTTTTTGAGTATTGTCTCTGGCCCATGGCCTATTATTGTTTTTAATAGGAAGAACAAGAGACGTGTCTTGATCTTCTTAGTTCACTGTCTTTCCATAATCAATCCATTCATATGCTTAAGATTTTGAATTTCTGTTCTGAGATTCTGTGTCGTGTGTTATTATCTCTTTAGTTGTGTTGTTCACCACCAATTTGGTGGTGAATATTCAGCTTCTTTTTTTGTAGTTATTTACTAGGTCCAGGACTAATGTTTAAGTTGATTTTGTTCTGGAGGTGACTCTGAAAGTATGCCCAGTCAGTAATTTTATTAATAAGAGTAGCTGTGGCTGCTCTTTTTATTACCCTTTCATTAAAAGTTAGTATGATAACTGAGTGGAATAACTTGGAAGATGGTGACTATGTCTGGTGATAAGGAAATGTAGTAAGGTGATTATCTCGGTATCAGTAAGCAAGTAGGTCGGCTTGAATGGTGAGTTGTAGTTGCAGTTCCTCTCTTGGATTGCTTTCCTAAATTTCCTTCCTTCTTACGCGCTTGACGTTTTAGTGACCGCCAACAATAAATAATCTCCTAAATGGATAAGAAGATTATAGAAATTCCTTCGCCCCGGAGATGATTGTTGTATACAAAAATTCATTAAATCAGATCACACAGATTTATGACATAGTAACCATTAAACTGTGATGCACAGTATTCCTATCATTATCATCATCATCATTGGCACTACATCCTAGCTATGGGTCTTGGCTCCACACTTATAATTATTTCGAGTTCTTCTAATGATTATAAATCTCTCGATGCTTGCCCATAAAATGACATGAATTAAATCGTATCAGCTAAAACTATTTCAATGTTATTTTAAGTACTTTCTATTCAACGATACGTCCCTTCTGCTGAATCGCACTCTTGATGCTGACCAGACACTTCGTTCTGGGTTTCCCTCTTGCCTCCAGTCTATCCCTAGTTTCTCTCTTGTGGCTGTATTTCTGACTCTATCTCTTCTGGCCTTGCCTATTATTCACGTTAAGTAACTTATTTCTGAAGTTGTTACTTTGTTTTTGTGCTTATCCTACATTGATCAGATTTGCGCCCCATATATTTGCGCCCTGTTTTCTATTTATACAGCTCATCTTATTAATGTTTTTCACATTTCCTCCAGATAATTTTGTGATAAACAGGGGATTGGATGCTTTTTCTCAGCTTGCAGAAAGGTTTAACCTTAGATTGAATCGCAGTAAGTCAAAGGTTATGATCTTCGGTCGAATGGGAGACGTTCAAAAATACTCCGACTTCGTTAATATACATATAAATGGACAACTTCTTCCGGTGGTTTCTGAGGTTCGTAACCTTGGACTCCACCTTGAAACTGATTTAAGATTTCGCGAACATATTTCTTATGTTCTTCAAGCGGCTTATGCTAAATTAAAGGCTTTTTACCCCTGTCGACGTATACTGGGCTTTTACACCAAAGCAACGTTATGCCAATCGCTGGTTTTATCCCGATTTAATTTTGCCGATGTGGTGTATGGGCCTTGTTTGTTGAAGGTAGATCAGCTTCGTGTTCAGCGACTACAAAATGCTCACAAATTGGCCACATTGGGGTGGTTGAACATGGATAGACATAGGTAGCTTCACTGTGCCGTTTTTTATCATAGAGTTTTAACCTCAAAAACACCTCAGTATTTGTTGGACAGAGTATGCTATCGAACTGATGTACATCATCTGAACTTAAGATTCAAAGGTCTTCTTACCCATCCGGCGCATAAAACGGAAATTTTCAAGAGATGTTTCAGTTATCAGGTAGCCAGCGTGTACAATGGTATCCCTGACGATATCAAGTTGCTTCCACTGTCCCGGTTTCGGAGGTCGATGTTCTTATCTCTACGCTCGCAGCAGAACCAACAGTGATTTAACTCATCCTCTTCAGCATGTTTCAATTCAGTTTTTATAAAAAAAAAATTCATACTGTTCTATTGGAGTCTATTATATATTTCTATATGGTATTGGTCTACACGGGCGACATTGAATGCTTTCACTTGGATCGCGATGATGGAGTGTTAAGTTTTTATTTTTATTTTTTTTAAGTATTATGCAATAGAGTAGTTTTTTGCTTTACCGCTTCCTTGCGTTGGTTTTTCATGTGGTATTATTGTTAATTTAGGTTAAGTTTGTGCAGAACCTGTTGGTTCTGAACTTCGCCTTTTCACCTAGATGTTTTTAATTTCTCTAATGTTGGATTAATATTTTTGTATACATTACTGTCTCCGTAATTCTTTATTTAGAAATGTAAATTGTTGGGTGAAATAAAGTCTTTATTATTATTATTATATCATACTGCTTTGTACAGGTGCATCTTTGTTTCTGTACTGAGCTCACTTTTATTTATGAGTATTGTGTTAATCTGGTAATACACTTATGTTGCTTTGGACGTTGTGTTTCTTATGTCCTGATCTATTGTCCCGTCATTGCTCATCACTACCCCAGGTATTTGTAGTGCCTTGTACTAGCTCTAATCTATTATGTCCATATCTGATGCGTATGTCTTCTTTCTCGTTGCCGATCTGTTTGCTAATCTTTATTATTTTACATTTCTTATGTTCCATTTGTTGCTTGCCGCCTGTAACTTCCGGTATCCGCCAGTAATACTGTCATTCTTCTATTCTGCAGTTTTGGTTCAGTGATTTAGGGCCCTCTCTTTACTTTTCTTTAAGGTATGCTCCATAACCATAATAAATAGGAGGGAGTCTCCTTGTCTGATTTCTTTTTCCATATTGAAAATTTAGACTCCATCCCTCTTATTCTGACTGTATCTGTTGTTTTTTTTTTGTACAGAGTTCTTGTGGTTTTGATTAACTTGTCGGGTGCTGAATATTATTATTTGTTTTATAAAATAATAAAAAAAATTTCAAATAATTATATAAAGCTTTTTCTGGAAACAAATTAATAAGATAAGGATTTATTTTTTAATTTCAGATACACATCAGCTGAAAAATTTTACATAGGAGCCAAATCTGCAAAGGAACTTTTAATTATAGACCGAATATCAGAAGCGGTTTATCTAGAAAAAAAAGATAACCAACAAGCAAACCATCCCCACATCGATTTTTGTGGCTTCTTAGGCAGTATTACATTAATAGCAGGTAGATACTTGGTAATAGCGACACATAGAGATTTAGTTGGTTTCGTAGCCGGCCACGCAATTTGGCGATTACGAGGTTTCAAACTGGTGCCATACTTTAAAAGTACAATCCATTTAAGTAATTTACAACAATCCGACAACGCAACTTATTTATCGATGGTCGAACACGTTTTAAACACACCATATTTTTACTTTAGTTACACGTATGATTTATCTCATACGATGCAAAGATTAAACGGAGCTGGACCGATGATGGCGCAACAATCAATGTTAGCCAGAGCCGATCAAAGATTCGTTTGGAATTGGCATTTATTAAAAGGATTTCAAAACCCCGATTTTAAAAATTTTACGCTTCCAATTATTCACGGTTTTATTTCGATAAATCAAGTGGTTATTAATGGGAATACTTTTAATTGGATTATGATATCGAGGAGGAGTACTCAACGAGCTGGAACTAGATATTTTAGACGTGGAACAGATAGAAATGGTTCAGTTGCAAATTTCGTCGAAACCGAGCAAATAGTTGATTTTCAAGGTGATCAAGGTAGTTTTGTACAAATTCGGGGTTCAATACCGTTATTTTGGACTCAATTACCGGATTTAAGATACAAACCACCTCCAAAATTAGTTGAAATTGATCGTGAGGATCATAACCGTGCTTGTTTGCGTCATTTAGAAACAACTAGTCAACTTTACGGTAGGCAAATTTTAGTGAATTTAGTTGATCAGAAAGGTGCTGAAGGAAAATTAGAACAAGCTTTCGGCGAAACAGTCAATAACATACGATTATCATCGGTTCGTTATGAACCTTTTGATTTCCACGCTGAATGTCGTCATATGAGATGGGATCGTTTATCGATTTTAATTGATCGATTACAATTTGAACAAGAAGAAATGGGTTATTTTTTGATGATGCGAGACGGTTCGTTAGTTTCGATGCAAGACGGTGTTTTTAGAACGAATTGTATTGATTGTTTGGATCGAACAAATGTAGTTCAAAGTCTTTTAGCTCATAGATCGTTAACGGCCATGCTTAAAAAATTAAATATTTTAAAACCAAACGAAAATGTTGAGAATCACGGTAGTTTTGAGAGTTTGTTTAAAAATGTTTGGGCGGATAATGCGGATTTTATAAGTGTTCAATATTCCGGTACTGGAGCTTTAAAAACTGATTATACTCGTACCGGAAAAAGAACTAAAGCTGGACTTTTAAGAGATGGCGTAAATTCGCTTACGAGATATTACAAAAATAATTTTACGGATGGGTATCGACAAGATGCGCTTGATTTATTCCATGGTTTAGCTGATTTGAGGTCACCATTAACTGTAGATAGAGGATGGAGATACATAACGTTCCCTAGTGTACTTTTGGTAGCTGTAGCTATGTTTGTTACTTGCGCGATTATTCCGCCGGAATATTCAACGGAATCTTTGTTGTTTTTGTTATTTTGGGGGTCGATGGTTTTCGCAACGGGGCACACCATTCTACGATATGGGCACGAATTTGTTGATAAACCTAGATTGTTATAACGTATCAATTTTTATTTTTGATAGTGTAGTGATAATAAGATTCTTTTTGTGTCCTTTAGAACGTAAAGAATATGTGTGGAATGGAAAAAGTGGAATTTTTATGTATATTTTTTGTGTACATGCATAATTAATTATATTATATTTTTTACCTATGGTTTATTATATGGTACATGAAAACACGTAGGATGTAATAATAAATAATGGTTAAAAAAACTTTATTAAGTGAAGTTTTTCATTCTAGTACCTTTCTTATCAATCACTACTGCTTATACACTTCCACTATGCATTTTTTATACTCGCCATTCATGTTTAATGAATCCAAATAATTTTTTGTGCATTCAAAATCGTAAATTAACATCGTTTTAAAGAATTGAACGGTTAAATTTTGCAATAATACGGGTTGTTTGTTAGATAAATAGAGTTTTACCGTTTCAAATAACTTTAAACAATCTTCAGTTGCTATTTCTATGTCGCAAATTAATCGCGATAAGTTTTCCAAAATAACTATTTGTAATTTATAAGCTTGGGTTGTTCTATATTCGGATCCTCGGTCTTTTAGATAGCTTTGTTTCGAAAGCACTGTAAGTCGATTTAAAATATTTTCTAAAACGTCCCTAAAAAATAAATTATTTTATTTTTTTTGTAAATTGTTTAAAAAAGTAATGTGCTGAATGAAAATATCATTCAAAATCTGATTTAATTTGTTTCTAAGTTAAGCTCAAACTCATTCTACTCAAACGCGGGTTCAAATCCGTGGCCTAATCTTATTATAATTGTGGTAGAAATAAAAATATTTCATTTCTTTTATCCATAAACCAAGGTGAGTTCTTTATTAATGATATTATATCTCTAATTACACCAGTCAACAACCATTTTACATTTGGGATGTGATAGGATATTATGTGGAAGGAACAATTTACATGTATTTTGGTATATAGAATCCGAACAAAGTTTTCATGATGTTATAGCAGTACTACTATGTAATGGCATTATATTTCAATCGGAGCCTTTGGCTTACCAGGAAACATGAAAGAAACTTATGAATCAATGGCTTCGCTGCTAGAGGCAATCAAAGGGTCATAAATCACAACTTTGCTGTGATTTGAAAAGGTGTTGCACTTCTTACAGATTTACAGAGTGGGCTCACGAAATATTGCTGCTTGTTGTGCCTACGGGATAGCCGTGACACTAAGAATCAAAAAAAATGTAAAAAACGCTCCATTAGTTAAACCCGACAAAATCATTTTCCCTCCGCTTGATATTAAGTTGGGCCTTATAAAGAACTTTGAAAAACTTTGGATAAAGGGTAGGCCTTCAATCATTTGAAAGAACAGTTTCCCAAATTGAGTGAAGCAAAGCTGAAAGAAGGTATATTTGTTGGGCTATAAATAAGAAAATTGTTGGAAGATCTAGCCTTTGATACCAAACTCACAAATATCGAATTGGCTTTTTCGGCAACGGAAAACGCTTTCACCAAGACATCCTTAAGATGGAACACCGTTATCAAGATCGCTGGAACCTTTCGATGATGAGTAACTACTCCTGTGGTCTTGTTAAGGAGAGTGATAGAACGGCTAACAAAAGAAGAACACCGTTGTAACATTTTCTGAATACCAAAGAAAATTAAAGTTGAAAATATGTTGCAATCTAATTTAGATATTCTATTGACATCATGATCAACACTGATTCTGTATTTCTTATTTGTTATTATGTACTGTTTTTGATTTTGCTGTGTATCTAGGAAATGTGACGTGATGGACAAAAACTGATTTTACCAGTGAACTCAGCATCAAAAAATTTGTAAAATCCACCCATTTACAAAGCAGATGCAGAAAAAAGGATATTTGTTGACTAGTATTGTTGTTCCATTTATGTCAAAGAATAAATGATATGCTGTAGGAAGAAGAAATCCCAGATTAAGTAAAAGAAGAGACTCAACATAACTACCCTGCCGATTTTCACATCGATTCGTGAATATATTATTAGCACATAAGCTTTCGTTTGGTTACATATGTTGTCGCGTGATCAAAAGAACTAAAGCTAGATTGATAACAAAGTTTAGTAGGCATAGAGAGAGAGAGAGATTAATGAGGTTCATTTAAGATCCTACGTCCTGTGATTGAATGATTCCAGGACTTGACGTAATAGTTAATCAACCAGAGCCATGCCGCAATAGAAGAATTGCATCATATTGTTAATAATAATAATGCCTTTTATTGCCTTTTAAGGAGGGGTTCAGGTGGCACTTCAAAAATGTGCCCCTGCTCACACCCAACCCACTAACGAAAATTTTATTACAAAGCAAAACGTAAAAGATGGTACACCATATACAAATAAAAATAAATTAAAAAAAATCAAAATAAAAGAAAAAAGTATTGATCTCTCATTAGCAAGTTGACAAGGGTAGACTTAAAGATGATGACCTAAAACATCTTTAGGTCATCAGGCAAATCGTTGTAAAGTACACAAATCTGGTGCGTGAATGATCTTCTAAATAGTGACAACTTATACTTAGAAGAAGAATTTTTCCACCTCTAAACCTCGTATTCAAATTGTGCATATCACAACTATATCTTATTTTGTTTGTAGGTAGGAAGGCTTTCCACTGGTCAAAATCTTATAATAGATACAGAGCGTTAACAATTTACGTCTATTGAACATATTTAACCAACCAATATCGCGAAGTTTATGCGAAATACGAGCATACTTTCGAATATCGAATACAAACCTCAAACAAGCATTCTGCACTCTTTGAATGCGTAGAGCATCAATACTATCAATTGAGGCACGGTAAAGCGGAGCGCAGTAGACAAAATGAGATAGAACCAGTGAATCACACAGCTGCTTTTTTAGTGGTAACAGTATAGAGCGACGATGCGGGTATAATGCACGAAGACTGGCATATGCTCTACGCATAAGTAACGAAATCTGCTCATTATATCTAAATGAGTTATCCATGATAACACCCAAGTTTTTTACACTTTCACTTATCGGAATAGTAACATTATTAATACTAATTGTAAACTGTGGGTTAAGCGATTAGATCACCAAAGAACTACTGAATAAAATTGCTTGAGACTTAGAAGGATTCAAGTGGAGATTATACTTTAGTGTTAATTTTTCATTCCCCCCAAACCTATATTTCATCTCAACCTAACCTTAATATTTTCAACGTCCAATCCCAAAATCGAATCAGAACTGAATTGAATTATTAATTTATCAAACAATTAAGGGCCCTTTTCTTATACGATTTCAACCAACTAAAACTCTTCCATCTTTTTCCTGTATTACCCAATAGGGCATTTCTTTGTAAAGGCATCAATTAACAAACACAACTTGTCTACACAGCTTTAGATTTTCTGCAGCTGCCCTGGTTACCCTTGGTTCCACGTCCTCCATTGTCGTCCTAAAGGGCTTTTCGTCTATTTCATTAGCAAGATTTTACTCCCTTCCATCCACTTTTTTCCTTACTTCGTCTTTTTGAAAACTTTTCTCTCTCTCTCTTGTCACTGTTTTTTGGAAAATATATTCTGAAACATCTACGTTAGTGAATCTCCCCTGCGTTTTCCATATTAACCTGTCTTCTGAACTTATACTCGGAAGTATCTTATTGATTATAGAATCAGTATTTAACGCCATGGCTTTTTATTATACGTTTTATCTATTCTCGATATATACCATGAACTGTTTTCGTCTGGATTGTGAAAGATACGATTTTTTCTGTAATTAAGTATAAAATATTTCGATCATAGATCGCCCACCAAGCGATCCACCTAGCATAGATTTGCCAACACTCATTTAATTTTTTCCATAAGGTTTTTTCCATTAACAAGAGACTTGGAGTCAGAAGGGTGGCTATTATCGCCGATGTCACTCCGATGGCTAACTTTCTTTTAACACTGGTACGTCATAATCTTGAGCGTTCAAGAATGTCGAGCTCTTTAGCTGTCTCCAGGATTGCCATTTCCGTTATTTTGCAGATATCTTAATTCTAATATATTGAGATAACTTGTAACCATCATGGTATTTGTTGTCTATAAGTAGCCCCCAAAATTAACATTTGGCTCCTATATCGAACCTATGATAGAAAACATCAAAACGTTAGACCCCTGAAAAACTCCATAGGAAACATCAAAGCTTTCTTCTCTAGGCACAATGATTTACCAATCTAATAGATACGCCTCCACCGTTCTCTTTAGATGGTTCATAATGTCCTTTCTTGATAGGTATTAGCTTTATGCTTTTTTTTTAATATTTTTTTTTCGGGTACATCATGTATACGCTCCCTTACTACAACTTCCAAAAAGCCTAGTTGTGATATCAATCATATCGGCCTAAATAAGATAAGATGTCCATTGACATAGTAGGTGTAGTCTATAGAGACTTTTCATATTTTTTTTCATTTGATGCCTATTTGCTAATATTTCATGAAAACTACTTTTTGGCTTTAAGGATATTAATTTGTTTATAAGTTTCGCACATCCGTGTTTAATTCGTTGTCTTATGATCTGTCATATCAATTTATTGCTTGCTATTCTCTTCCTTTGTATTTACTTGTTCCATCAGTATACTATTTTCTGTCCCGTTTGCGTATTACTTGATATGAAGCGGAGGCAAGATAATTTTGTTGGTCTTAACCAATGGAGTGTTTTTCACATTTTCTTTTCTAACAACATATGATTTTCTTATAGGCTATTTCTTGACTGTGTATAGTGGTTCTTAGTGTCACGGCTGTCCCATAGGCTTAAAAAGCAGCAATATTTCGTGAACCCACTCTATAAACCTGTAAGGAGTTCAACAACTTTTAAATCACAGCAGAGAAGCCATGGATTCATAAGTTTCTTTCATCTTTTCTGTGTAAACCAAAGGCACGGATAGAAATGTATTGCCATTACAGTAGTAGTACTGCCTTCAAGCTTGTTTTACTGAAGTAAATAAAAAGTCGGCACTCTTATGGGTTATGTTGTACACCTAGCTGCATCATCAGACCGTTGATATTTCTACAGACGCACATTGAATTCTACACGTCAAAATATTGAACGAAGGAAGTACCTCTAGTACCCCAAGCACCCCAAGAGTTCAGCTTGCACATTCGAAGGTTTTAGATCGCGAACCAAATCGTTCAATTCCTTTTGATTAAAGATCTGAGGCGAAGTGTCGGGAGATTGAACGCAGTACTTTTCCACATGTGGAGCACCCTCTGATTCACTTGACGTCGGGTCAGTTCCCGTAGCTTGCACGTTGCAGTTAGGACTAGGTAACCCTTCATTATGGGCAACAGACAAATGCACTGAAGATACGTTTGGAAACTTTATTTTATGTCGAGTTTTGTTATAATGCCCTGTAATATTTGTGAGGCAAAAGTAACTATCTGAAAAACCTTAGGAACACCCGAATTTCATGACTCGGCGTTTTCCTTTTAACCATTCGTAAAGTAGTAATGCAGGTTATGTATGCAATATGAGGATATTGTTCAAACAAACAGAAAACATCGAAATACTGAAAATAAAATACCCTGAAAACTCAAAAATCTTACGTGCTAGAACATTTTGAAAGGTATATTCGAATTCCGCATACCACAATATATATAAATTGATATATCACATCAAATTTTATTATAGAATGTTATCTTTAATTTTGTGTAAAAATCATTTAGCACACTACTTTCAAAACATAGTGTATCATTAAAGTATTAAAAAAGTACTTACACTGATGTGCGTTGTCTAATAAAATCCCTAGAAAGTCTTGCCATAACCACCAATAATTGAAAACTTAAATTAAAAATTAATGGTTTAACAGTCTCTTTAAAACGATATTTTAAAGGTGTCCATATTTTATGCACCAAAGGTAACAATTCGTTTTCATAATCCTTAACTATTTCTAATCCATTTTTCAAAATTTCTAAACTCAAAATCTTTATATCATCATTAGGAGAAGATAAATAATTTAAAGATGTTTTTAATATTTTAATCGTCAATTTTATATGAACCGGAAGAACTATTTTAACCTTACATTCTTCACCACCAATAACTTCATCATCAATTTTATTATTTTGGTCCTCTTTCCACATTTCTTCCACACTTTTTTTCATTTTTTCATCCGAAAAATCATTATTTTCTTCAATCAATTCCTCCTTTCCTTTCAAAATTTCTTCGATCTTTTCTTTTTTACTTTTAACTTTTTCCAAAATTATTTTAACGTCGAACCATCGAATTAAACATTTCAAAAATACATCGTATATTCTTAAAAACGGGATTTGTTCTTCAGTGTTAATAAAATCGGTTTGTTCGGATATATTTTCGATAATATCCGAAATTGAATCTAAAACTTCCACAGAACAATGTTTTATAACAACACCAAAAACATCTAGAACCGTTTTATTCGTTTGAAAATGTTTTAATTTTCTTGTAACGTGATAAGAAAAATAATCGGAATTTTGATTGATTAAATCCGTTATTGAGATAAATCCTGATGATTTTGAAACATTTAAAAGACACTTTAATCCAGATAAACGAATTAGAGGATTTAAAGAACCCGATTTTTCAATAATGGGGTATAAAATTTTTAATAATAATTTCCTACATCGGTTTTCGTTTAAATTTAAACAAATTTTTCCTACACCTTCTAATTGCAAACAAATTTGAATAGTATTTTCGTGAGTTTCGTTTAAATGTATCGATTCAGATGGAATAATTGGTAAATTTAAATTTTCATCTTGTAAGTAAATCAAAATTAAATCTATTTTTAAATCATCGTTTAAATTTTTTGGTATATTTGAGATTATTTCGTTTAAAATTAACGTTGATTCCTTTTTAAATTCGGTTTCTTTCTCGAAAACTTCTATTAAATAATAATAAATATCTTGAACGATTTCTTCATTTGATAATAATTGAAATAATTCGTTTAGTTTTGTCGCAACGTTTTCATTTGTATGATATTTAAATGTTTTCCACGGTGTTTTGTTGAAATCTTGAATTTCAAAATCTATAAACATAAATAAATATAATAATATTGTTATTTTATAAGAAATGATTTTTTTTTCTTCAAACGTTTTAATAAATTTCTTTAAATTACTTTAATTTGAAATATAAATAAGCATCTTTTCAAACTGGAATAACTTTTGAACGTATTCCTCGATTTGAATAAGGTGTTTTTTTATTTGAAAGGTTTACCCTGTGCCAATATTTCTGTAGGCGCCTTCCACATTTTGGCGCTCTTTAATTTCAGCAATGGTGAATAACGCTAATGCGTGTTTTCCTCCTACACTTTGAAGCTTGCTGTGGGGTGCACCGACCAAAGAAAATAATTTTAATCATAAGAGGCTTGTAGTCTCATCTGTTCTGATCACTTCTGTTTTTTGTTCAAGTTTCTATTGTTGTTAACACCAAAGTTACAAGCTCTAAAAGATAACGCAGCTTGTTCGGCAGTGCCATCAGAAATTAAAGAAATTGACGAAATCATTTCAGTGACGTTTAGTGTCGTTAACGTCGTACACTGTTGTCGTACACTTAACAAGAAAAATGCCTTCAAGTCTTGCAGAAGTTGCTCAGGCAGTGGCTTTGGTGGAAGATGGACGTAGCACTCGTTATGTTGCTCGTGTTCTTGGCGTGATACAGAGTACGGTTTCTCACGCCATTCAAAGATTTCGGCAGACTGACACCTTCATCAGATAACCTGGGTCAGGAAGAAGACGCACCATACAACCCCGTGATGATCGATATATTATAACAACCGTGTTACGAATCGACATACCACAGCAGTTGAGATAAGAAATCGTTTGGAGCAAGTGCGTCGGGTGAACGTGAGTGAACGCACAGTAAGAAGGAGATGTGAAGAAGCGGGGTTGAGATCACAGAGACCAGCAACTGGACCACAGTTGCTTCGAGAACATCGTGTTGCTCGATTACAATTTGCACGACATCATGTTCAGTAGACCAATGCAGAGTGGCGAAACGTACTGTTCTCAGACGAGTCGAGGTTCGGCTTGTACTCTCCAGATGGTCGAGAGAGAGTTTGGAGAAGAGCAGGAGAGTGTTATGCTCAGTGCAACTTCTCTGAAAGAGTACAATACCAAGGGGATCTGTAATGGTTTGAGGGGGAATGTGTTTCAAAGCACATACGGAGCTTTGCTTTATTAACGGCAATCTAAACACGGATCGGTATATTGAAGAAATTTTGGCTGAACACGTGTTTCCTTTCGGCCCATTTATTGGTGACAACTTCTTGTTCATGCATGATAATGCACGCTCCCATACAGCCCGCATAGTGTCCTAACACCTGGATGATTTGGATATCAGCAGAATGGAATGGCCTGCACGTAGCCCTGATTTAAACCCCATAGAACACATGTGGGATATACTAGGGAAACGAGTTAGAGCCCGTGGTGCCGTTATTTTGTTTGATTTACTTGTCACAGTTTAATAAAATTAAATTTCATCGACATCCATGATTTGCTTTAATTTCTGATAACGCTGTAGCCCTTTTAAACAAAAAAATCTTATTCAAATCGAGCAATACGTTCAAAAGTTATTGCAGTTTGAAACTGGTCATCATTTTAGGTGATGCGTTTTTTATGCCGCTGAGTGTATGAATAAGGTCGTAGCATAGTATGTATTACAGATAGTGTATGACAGCGTAGATACATCTCTTATTAAAAGCTTAACCAAAAAAACGAAGCTTTACGTTGATTAAAGTAAATAAAAGAAGGGATAAGGGATTCCCTCCAATAGCCAACAGTTTCGGGTGGAGTTAGGGCACCGTTTTGTCCTGGGGCTGAAAAATTGGCTCCAAAGGCTGATGAACTAAGATATGTCAACGGAATAAGGATACGGAAGGCAATGGGTAACCATCGTAATCATCATGGCTAGTACGACAATTAAGAGGCCAATTACCAAGAGATCATGGTAATCGGAGGCCAAGATCCTTCAGAGCAGGAAAAGTTAAAGTTTGTGAGACCTCCCAGGTCGTTAGTCTGCAAAACCCTTGCAATATTGAAACGTGGAATACGAGATCGTTTTGTTAAGTCGGGAAAGTCTTGGGTATTAGTGAAATGAAATGGTCGGGTTCAAGACAATGTCTAATTGATGCACACCAAGCCAATTGTACAGGTGACCATCGGCACGGAGTGGGTATTATCGTATATGTCACAAACTCTGTAGCCATATCCGAAAGAGTCTAGCTACTACAAATCAATGCTAGTCTCATACCGATGAACATCATTCAAGAATATGCTGTGGGAACAGCACTTCAAAAGTGACAACGAAATTGAAAAATTTTACAACGAAATAGTAAATATATATGACAGATTCTCCAAACATCACCTAACGGTAACAATGGGTTTGACGCCAAGATAGGCAAGGGAGAAGAAGGAGTGTTTGTTGGACCTCATGGGTTGGGTAAGAGAAACGAACGTGGAGACTGATTAGCAATGTTTGCTACAGACAAAATGGTAATACTCAATACTTTCTTTAAACTACCACCGAGAAGGTAAAACACGTGGAGATCCCCACTAGACTCCAAGGAACATATAGTTAGAAATCAGATGGACTATATACTAGTCTATAAGAAATACCAGAACTATTTTATATCTATAAAAACTCATCTTGGAGCTGATATAGCGTCGGACCACACTTCCGTAGTTGATACACTAAGCCTAAAACTAAAAAGGATATACCAGAAATAAAAAGGATAAACCAGGAAGCACGATGAAATATGCGATCTCGAAGGCAGACACTACTTAGAAGAACACACACAAGTGAAAAATTCAGAAAACTAGACAAAAACTTGAGACGAAAAACATAGATGACAGATAAAATTCTAGAAATGGTAGAACAAAGAAGATTCGCGAAAGGTATACCTAAGTATTTAGAGATCCACAGGCAAATACAACGAAAGATTAAGGAAGCTACAGAACCGAAAACAGGCCCTACAGACAAAAAAGTTTTAATATCTATAAAAAGTTAAAGAAACAGCTGTTCTGCTCATACCGAGAACAATATATGTTAGAACTAAGTTGACTAACAATCACGGAAAAATAATCATAGACAAAATAAAGACATGGGTCACCTACGTCGCTGAATAGATAAATCAGACCTGGTATTACTGTTGAAGAAGTACAATCTGTATGTAATATAACCAATGAAAGAGGGCAAGGCTCCGCGGTTCAGATAACCTTAGATCTGAAATTTTAAAGCTTCTTGACGAACATAATTATACGGATGGCAAATATAGTGGTGGAATCCGGAAACTATTCGGTATCCGGCCATTTTTGAAAATCCGGATAGTTAACCAAATATCCGGGTTTGGTCGGATATTAAAAACCTATTAGTACTCCAGCATTCACAGAGATTAGTATCTTCTGTAGGTCTTGGACACTGCAGATAATAATCAAGTTCAACCTCAATAGGACTTTTTTTAATTTAATTCAACTTTATTTATTTCAAGTTCGTGAATTATTAATACAATATGTGACTAAATCTCTTGTTGCAGTTTCTTCTAGTCTTCTTCTGTTCGCTTGTAATTCATCATCATATTTATTACTAACAGCAAGTCTTTCCAATAAAAGCCATCTTCTTGCTTCGTTTGTTAAATCTGCATTAAGAAGGTTTATTTTGTATCTTGGATAAGTTGACATATCTTATCAGCTTTCTGAATAATTTCAGAAATGCACGAGAAATTATAGCCATAATGGCCGGATAGATATGCCGGATGATTTTGCGAAAAGCGAGATACCGGATGTCCCGCTTTTCGCAAAATCACCATCCGTTTCATCACTAGCAAATATGTTCAATTCCATCTGCGAAACTGGCGAAATATAGGAGTAGTTGGTGTCAGAATTCGTCTGGATACGTAAAAAGTCAGGGGCAAAGAGATGTGTTGATTTCTCATGACGTGCTAGGTATTCAAGTTTTCTACGTTTGATGGTATACACGATTTCCGATTCCTTATTCATTCTTTGTGGCACTTCCCTGTTCGTCATGGTATTTTGAGCATTCATCTATACAGCCACATCTCAAAACCTTTCTCCGTTTTTTAGTTGTAGCTTCTGTCAAGGTCCAGGATTTCATGTCATATAAGAAGACATAGCATTTTAGATATCTTACTTTTGTTTCGAGGGATATGTTGTGACACAGTACTCGGTTACCTGGGAACTTCCATCAAGTGTTTCGTCAACTACTACTCCTTCAAGTGCTTCATTAAAGATTCTTTTTGAGTACATATTGAATATTAATGGCGACAGAATACAGTCTTGTCCAACTCCACACAATATATTCACTTTGCCTGTTGGTTTTTCAAGTATCATGCACGCAGTCTGGTTCCAGTAGAGGTTTGAAATTATTTTGAGGTCTTTGACATCCAAGTTGGCATCATAAAAATATTGATTATCTCGTGATGTTGATCTCGATCGGACTCTTTTTTGTAATATATTAGATACGCGTATCCGTCAGAATTCACGTCTCAACACCTTTGGATTAGGACTTGAGCACCAAAAAATGCTGCTCTAATGCTGTCCGCGTTCATGAGCCCGAATTGAGTGTTTGATATTTGTTCTTTGCATCTTTTGTATATTCTTTTGTGAATTATTTTAAGAAACATCTTCAGCTTCTGATTGTAACCACTTTTCCAGGATATTTCCAGAGAGACTTTATTAAAAATTTCTATGATCCAGGTATTTATTCTTCGTCTAGTAGTTCTAAGAATTCAGCCTCTATGTTATTTGGTCCAACTACTTTTCTATTTTTTATTTATTTCATTACTGTCTCTACTTCATGGTTCAGTATGTTGGGGCCCATTAGCACTTCTGAGGCTAGGTAACTGACTTCCGATCTTTGACCATGGAAAGTCGCCTCCAGATATAATTTCCACTCGTTTTTAATATCTTGTTTGTCTATAATTTATTTCTCATTTGAGTCCATGATCCTTTATTTTCTTTAAGTATTCTTGTTTCCTCCATCAGATTTAAGATATTATCTGTCATCCATGATTTCTTTTCCATTATACTGATGACCCTGAGTAGAACAGTATGTTCACTATGCTGTTCTTCATCAGTGCGTCCTTCAGACCATCTCATTCTGCTTATGCCCATTACATCGATGTTCCATCTTTTCATTTCATAAATTGGGTTGTCTATTTTTCCTCTTCTTGTCATAATCTTAACATTCCAGGTACATATCTTTATAGTCTGTTGGGATGTTTCTTTTTCATGGACGCTCTAGGATTTCACGGACTTCATAGGATCTTTAATGTAGTGGTTGTTCTCTGCCTTCCACATTATTCGTCTGTCTTCTACTGGTTTCTCGAATTCCTGAGCAAAAGAGTGTCATTCTCCTGTTAGTTCCTCTACCTAAAACTGTTGACTAATAAGAGAGGACTGCTTATACCGGCATATCTAGTGGGAACGTCATGTCAGCCTAAAAGTTTGAGACAAGTTTGGGAGGCACAGATACAGATGAGAAGAGGAAGAGGACGACTGAAGGAGACCTGGGAGGGTGTAATAGGAAAGATTCTTGAAAAGTGGGGCAAATCATAGACAAATGCAAAAGAACTGGCGCTGCAGAAAGGCGAATGGAACAGATTTGTCTGTATGTATTGACCCCCATATAACGAAAGGTATGAACGGCTGATTATATATATATATAGAAATTAAGTAATGAAAACTAAGAAAATGAAGAGACATTGTTCTTTCCTTCGTTTTGTGAACGCAGGTAAGTCTTCTATTAAATTATAATCATGAAAAAATCATTGAGACATTATCATTTCAACGTTTGAAGAAAAGATACTCAAATTCACACCAAAAATATAACTCACCTTGAATTGTGTATTCATCAAATAACCTCAAATTTAATTTATCCAATGTACAAATGGTTAGTAAAGATATCATAAACTGTTTTAAATTAATTGGATCATATAACAATATTGATAATTTATGATTTTTAAATAATTTTAAATACCCACAAAGTAGATTTAATTGGCATAACTTTTTATCATCATCAACACTATGAAAAATCGAAGGGATTTCGTTCATAGTTTCAAATAAATTTTCTTCAAGATGATCAAAAAGCTTTTCATAAAAATCTTGGTCGCTTGTCTTTAAAATAAGTAAAAAATCTAAAGCTTTTCGAGAAATATTTGAGACATCTTGATTGGAATCTTCAGAAAGTTTAATTAAAGCTTCGAAAATTTTCGTTGATGTTATTGGAATTGATCTTAACACATAAATATCAAATTTCTTTTTAAGTAATCATTAATAAACAAAGAAAACTTACGAATAGCATTTTGTAACAATTTTATGGCAAGTTAATCCAAATTCTAATCGAATTCTTTCATCATCATGATAACATATTTTTAAGATTTTGTTGAAAACCTTAACTAATTGGTTATCGGTGTTAATAAACCAGTTAATATCACGTGAAGATGAGTTATTTTGCATTAATAAACAAAAAAAGTTACCAAGACAATTAATAGCAGCCTAAAAATGTTTTAATTAATTGATGGAGGACATAATTTTTAAAAATGTGCTTACACAAATTACTTTATGCCCAGATTTTTGTTCTTCTAATGTTATATCACTTAAAACTTTGGTGATTAATGGGAAAAATTTCATAAATAAATCAGCTGATATTTTTAAAATTGTTGGATCATTATGAGTAGTTTTAGCTATACTCATTATACATTTAATTGCTGCTATTCTGGAATTAAAAATAAATGATTAAGAAAACTTAGTTATTAAATAAACAAATTTAAACCTTAAACTTTTAAGTTTTTCCAATTGAGCCATTTTTAAACAAACATAAACCATATTAGCAAAAACCATGAGAAATGTTTCACTGCTATAAACATTTCGAACAACTTCATCGATGATTGAACCATGTAAACTTGCAATACAATTCACCACAATTAATTTGTACTCTTCTGGACAATCTTTTACTGCATAAAACAAATATTAGAAATTAATTAATTGATTTTAAATAAACCTACATGTGTTATCTTTTCCTGGATCATAAATTTCAAATAACAATGTTCCTGCAATATTTTTATACACATTTACATTATCCACTTCGGATTTTTGTAAGAGAACATCTAAATTAAAAATTAAATTTTCTCTTAGAACTGGCTTGACTGTAGACGACTTATTTGGGTTTAAGTGTATGAAAAATGCCCCTAAAATATTTTTAGAATGGATTTTAACGATTTCTTTGGGTAGAGCTGCTAAAATTTCACTCAAATCTTTTAAATTAATCAACAATAATCGATCATTTTCCGCATTAATGATTAAATTTGTTGTTAAGTGTTTTAAAAGTTTTGTTTCTTCTATATAATTATTCTTTAAATCCATATTATTCAGGTAAAATATTTACTATTTGAATTATTAAAATTATTTTGAGGTTAGGTTAAAAAAATGTTAGGTTAGATGTGACGAGTTCTCATTTTTGTCGATGGATGGCGTTAAAAAATATGAAATATAAATAATAAATACTTTTTTAAATTTGTTATTAACAAATTACTTGTTTCAGATAGTTATAGAAGTAATTGTGTAGTAGATTTTTAAACTAGTTTTTATAAAAAGACATTCCATCAAATAATAAGTTAGGTTATGCAATTTTAAATTGAACTATTAGCCTTGTTTATAGATATAAATCTATAAATAAGACTATATCTATAAACATGTATATATCTTCGTCGATGATTGAACCATGTAAACTTGCAAAACAATTCACCACAATTAATTTGTACTCTTCTGGACAATCTTTTACTGCATAAAATAAATATTAGAAATTAATTAATTGATTTTAAATAAACCTACATGTGTTATCTCTGCCTGGATCACAAATTTCAAATAACAATGTTCCTGCAATATTTTTATACACATTTACATTATCCACTTCAGATTTTTGTAAGAGAACATCTAAATTAAAAATTAAATTTTCTCTTAGAACTGGCTTGACTGTAGACGACTTATTTGGGTTTAAGTGTATGAAAAATGCCCCTAAAATATTTTTAGAATGGATTTTAACGATTTCTTTGGGTAGAGCTGCTAAAATTTCACTCAAATCTTTTAAATTAATCAACAATAATCGATCATTTTCCGCATTAATGATTAAATTTGTTGTTAAGTGTTTTAAAAGTTTTGTTTCTTCTATATAATTATTCTTTAAATCCATATTATTCAGGTAAAATATTTACTATTTGAATTATTAAAATTATTTTGAGGTTAGGTTAAAAAAATGTTAGGTTAGATGTGACGAGTTCTCATTTTTGTCGATGGATGGCGTTAAAAAATATGAAATATAAATAATAAATACTTTTTTAAATTTGTTATTAACAAATTACTTGTTTCAAATAGTTATAAAAGTAATTTTGTAGTCCGTTTTTAAACAACTTTTTATAAAACCACATTCCATCAAATAATAAGTTAGGTTATGCATATTCAAATTGAACTATTAGCCTTGTTTATTGAATAAACAATTTAAAAAAAATAAATTTATATTTTATTTATACATACATTTTAATGTTTAATGAATTTCCCACTACTTTCCAATCATTTTTAATAAATTCCTTTGTTTTATATTATAATATTTATAAGACTCCTCAAATTAGTTAGGTTTTCTTGGTATACAAAAAAAGAAATGCTTTTCTTTTGAAGTTTTATTTATTTAAAACTCATTTTACCACATTAAAGTCTTTATGTTTTAACAATATAAAAATATGTACATAATAGTAAGAAAATTACGCTTACTCTAAGATTATAAATACAACAAACATTGAGAAAAAAAAATTAATCACAAATACAAAAAATTGATAATATCGTCTTAGCGCTCAAGGAATATCTACGAATACAATTTACTTGGTTTGACGTTGCGTGATTTTTATAATTAATTTATCCGTCTTATAATTATTCTTACAACCTTTACAAATTCCTGAATTTTTATTTGAACAATATACAAAAACATCATTCCGTTTAAATGGTTAAAACAAAAATTGAGGCACTAATTAGATCCATAACCCATCATTTTTGTTTTCTATAACTAAGTATCTTTAGATTTATCATCCAATTCAACCGTTTCATTAATACCATCCTTGACTAATTCGCCTAAATTAGTTTTTTCCTCTACCAAAATCTTTTTACTTTCTTCTTCTTGTTTTGCTTTAAACGCAGCCGGATCTAAACTTTCAATCAACGCCGAATTTGAGGACGTTTCCGGTTCAATAAATTGCGTTCCACCAAAACTAACGCTTTTCGGTTTATTACTACTTTCTGGAATCTGCGTCGTTTCTATGTTTTGTGCTGGAAAGCTAACCGCAGGTATTGGTTTATTGTTATTAACATTTTTCATTGTAACCAAATAATTAAGTGGGACAACTCCCGATCTTCCATTGCATGTCGCAAATGCCCATCCGGTGTTGTACAGTCTCATTTCTTCTTGGATGTGTTTTGGAGCCAAGAGCACTTCGTCATTTGTGTTTATGGTAAGTTCGTTTTGTGATGTTGCTACAAAATCAAAAGCTGCCTTTGCTCGGATTCCTGCTGATTTCCATTTTTCTGGATCACATTTATCTAGAAAATAAAAAGAAAAGTTTAAATGTGGTTATAATTTAGTTAAAAAAAAATAATATTTTTGATCATTAATGAAATAAGTACTTAAGTAACAAGTGTTTTCTTTATCAACTAACGATTTTCTTGTATTTATCTTATCTGTATCAATAGTTTCTTCTAAAATAGACATTTTAAAGTGTTTTTACACGTGTTTTTAAATTTCGTATGGTTGGTTTTGGCATTTTATTATGTTTTTAATTAATTTCTGTCTCAATTGACTTAGTTAATAGTTGAGTTACGGTACTTGTACAAAGTTACTGTTATCATGGTATTCTGTTAAGTCTTCATTGAGGTTTTTTCACTCATAGAGATTATTTCGCAAATATGTTAAGAAGTTTTTTGGTTGCTCGCGAACTTGATACAGAAACTGCAAAAAATTAGGAAAGAGTAGAAAATGATGCATTTCAAAGAGTTGTCAGTTCTGCAATGAACAGAACTAATCAATTTTTCCCAAAACTCCTACTGAGAAATATGTATTTAATTCTATAGTTATTTCCTCAAAATGAAATGCTACTACAATGAACCAAGTATCAAGCTATTTTGATCACTCTTTCTATCATCGCATTCCAGTACTTCCTGCAACAGCATTAATTCGGACTATATCATTCCGTGGTGATTCGATTCACTTAATGATTGTCTTCATACTGGTCCGAAACTGCAAAATGTTTTGCTTACAACTAAACCAAAGGTTGACAGCGGTCGGTTTTAATGCGCATAAATGGATATTGAATCGGTCAGAATCTGTAGGTGATCAAACTTCACATGTGATCATATTGCAATATTGGGCAAAGACTCAATTAACTAAGAAATGTATTTGTTGCCTAGAAAATATTTGTAGTATTTTAATAACTATGATATGTATGATAGCTTCAAACAGACAAAATCATTATGGCCATTGATTGATTGCATTAAAAGCAGTTATTTAATATCTTAAAAAACAAAAGTTAATTATTAATTAATAATTAGCGGTATTAATAACTGTTACTATTCTCGATCGCAGTGAAAATTATTGAAATCCACAAGCAATTCCCGTTCGCTATTATCAGGACGAGACACTGTGGTGGTCAACGATTTCAACATAGTCCATCAGCAGCATCATTAAATACGAATCCAGACATACTGTCATTGCATGATAAGTTTTATCTCGGCTCTATTTATTTCGTTTTCGTTTACATATTTCACGCAAAAGTCGCGTTGTCCTTGCTTCACATCGATTTTGATCTTACAGTTCGTATTTCCATAACACCACGATCGGCGGCGTTACCATTCTCTTCGAAACGAACTTTCGCTCAATTTAAAAGTGTTTCAAACTCAAACCGTTCATGGACGCAATGTTATGTGTGTAAATACTCGTTGAAATGTTTCTGCGGAGATTGCAAAGTAGTGCCACTATCCAAACTGTGGTTAAACAGCAAGCTCTTAAACAAGACGGTTAAGAATATAATTTATATTATCAAGATAATTCGCCTTGAAAATGATAATACTAGTTATAGTATTTCGCTCATGGCAGCTCAGATTATAATAATTATAAAGGTTCAAAATGAAATACATAGACAAATTTTTGCTTTTAAATTGAATGCGTGTGATTCAGACTAATTAAAGCACTAGTCGAAAAGACCTTGGATAAGTCGTCTTCTTTTATCAACTGGTGCCATACAGTTTACCCATTATTCCTCATGTATTATGAATTTCGTTCAGGAAACTTCCAACACTTACTATAAAAGTGCTGTTACTTCCAAAAAAATAAATATTCTACTAGTTACTCAAAACCATCCTAATTCAAAGCACTATCGTTACGATTTATCCACTTCACTCTACTGGATACTTGTACCCCAAGCGACTACTTGACGATTGCACCTCACTTTTCCACAACTTCTCAATGTGATCAAAGGTCAATAATCTCAAAGTGATCTTAAGGTCACGAGAATGCTTCCTGTCTTTCACGTTGATATATTTTTTGAAGAATTCTTCAAGATTCCATAGTTGACATTTATTTGTAGTTTACTAAACTTGCTCTTAAATCACCATTATTGGGAAATAAGTTATGTGGGAGGTGTTGTTAAGGTAGAAAGCTAACCTGAAGTTGGTTTCGCAATGTCACAGGAGCGCCATGGAAGTGCCCACTGATTCACCGAGTCCGCATCACGCTTCAACGTGTGCTCTGTTGACCGCTCCATTAGTTATTATTGGTAAGGTTACTAATTACAAGCACCCTTGAATCTGTTTTTAACATGGCCAGAAAGTTGCGATGCAACATGGAATACATTAGCTCTAAGATGGTGAGATTGTCGATTCCATACAGTTTTATAATGATAAAGTTTCTTAATAGGATTTTGCAATGAAGTAAACCCAATTTCAGCTTAAATTACTAAAGATTAAGGGCGGAAAATGTTGCTCTTAAAAAGCAGGTCGATGAACTCTATTGCTCCGAATGGCTTTCAGTGCATTTTAATATCTCTACCTAACTCCAAGTCGCTTCTAAAAATTGTATGATTTTCAAGTCGTAATTACTCGCAATACTTTTTATTTTTACAGGTTCCAGTTGCTCCCAATACCTTGAAAGCAAAATTGATCCCGATGGCTTGTACTTCTAGAAGATCCAAATGTCTCTGACTAATATTTTTCGTTATTTATGACTTTCTTACAATTATTTGTTTTTAAATAAATTATTGAGGCGGTTTCAACAAAATCTAAAAGGTAGATAGAAGCAAAATACAAAGACGTAGAATTAAAATTAACGGGCTGATTTAATCACAAGAAAGCAAAATTTTTTTAAATGATAGCGCTATGAAAATCACCTACGTTCCTCAGCTACGGCATTTTCAAATTTAGTGAAGTAGCACTAAATTAATTCTATTTTCTCCGCACTTCTATTAATCTCTATTTATATTATTATAGATTAACCGAATATATTGTACACTATGATTATACACATCGTAGGTAAATACATTCTCAAGCATTTAAAGAGTTACGACTCAAATTAAGATCAGAAAATGATTGCTTAACATCACTATATCTGTATGATTGCCTTATATTATCAACATTTCATCAGCGAAAATAATGAGGGAGCATCCTGGTGGTCGCCTTCTGGCATTAATCTATTGTTCTCCATCTTGGGTATTTTCATCCCATTTGCATGGTATCCTTGTTTTGTTTTTGTAATCTCCGTCCTTGTTCCTCTGCATATGTTATCATGCATGTATGCCTTTTATATTCTTGATTTTGTTTCAAGCGACATACAGTTGCTCTTCCAGATTGTGTGCCTTAGGCGATTCTGGTTGTCTTGTTGATTTCTGTTTTACAATGTTGCTTACTGGGTTCTCTTCCTAAAGTCATGGTTTTGGTCGAACATATCGAGATTTGTGTCAGCCAGTAAGATGGCATCATCTGCAGAGCACATAATCTTGATTTACTCATTACTTTGTCTATTATTCTATCCATGAGTCATGAGTAGATCAAACAACAAGAGGTTGAGGCTATCCCGTTGTTGAATACCTGTATGCTCATCCTCTTGCTTTGATGTTTGTGTATTAGTTTTAATTATTGATATGTAAGAAGTGTTAAGGTGTGCTATTGTCTGAATAATATTGGAATGTAGATCAAGGAAACAGAAGAAGGCCATTATACTCTACTGATTCTTCATAACCGGTCTGACAATGAAAATACCATCAACCTTGTTAATCTTCACTCATTCCGATTTCATTTGCGATATGTTGAGTCGATTGAAGAGCTTCAACGAGCTATTTAGAAGGTAATATCGCGATAATTATTAGTTGCCCATGTCTTTTTGTGTAGCTGTATGAGTACAGCAGTGCCTTGCTGGTCATCAGCACTTCCACTCTTTGCCCGCTTATTATTGTCACCCGCTTTATCTTTGAGTCTGTTCTAGATACATCCACTTGATCAGTTTGAATATAATGCTCTTATGCCAGCATTCTACGTAACAGGGTTTCTACGCGGTTGCGAAGATATCGATCTGTGAAGTGGGGGGCTTTGACTTTTGGCACGGATAGTAGATCATGTAAAACATTTTTGCCCTATATGTGAGATTGAATTTTTATAATACACTGTTTACAATAATGAAAAGCATTATAGTTTTAGTGATAACAGCTCATAATTTAGATTCTTATTTAAAGGATTTCTTCCTTAAAACTAGTACATACATCCTAACTCAGAAGATTTCCAGAGGATTATTACTACAATTATACCAATTTTAAAAGCTTTCCTTGCTTAAGACTTAAATTTATTGTAACTTTTATAACTTTGATTTCTATTAATACTTGTGATTATTAATTTGAGAAACATGCACCTAAAAAATGTTTATCATATCAGAATATGTGTAATAAACAATAATAAATCATCACAGCTGATTAAGACAAAATACATTCTTTTTTGTACTTTTCTGTTTTAAATATAGTTAATTGAGTTAATTAATTAAAACTATTTTTAAGTTAATTTTTTGGTTGAAAATAAAAAAAAATAAATCTTAAACGTAACAAAATCTATTTCAATGTGAAATATGTAAGGATATGGAAATTGAAAATAAAAAAGTTAAGATTAGATAAGGCTGTTCAAACTCGCTTTGTCATTCTGCGTACTATAAATTTTAAACAAGCCTAACACAGTAAAATATTTATTTGAAAAATCACTTAAAATCTGTTAAAAAACGATTTCATTTAAAAACGTAACAATATTCTAAACAAGGTTTTAAAATTAAATGTGTGTATTAAAAAATTGTTTAAAAACAAACGTTTTATTTATTTACTCTTGACCTCAATTATTTATTACTCATCCAATTATTTACTTACCTTCATATTTAGGTAACAATTTACTAATTAAATAGGGAGCAGCAAGAATTGCCCCCAAAAACGCCACCGTTGACCAATTAGACCCTTTCTGACCACCTTCCGTTAATTCCGCCACCGTACCATTCGCCGCTTCACTCCACGCGGCTGATTTTGCGTTTGCTGCCACCGGAAGCCCCATCATAGCTCTTAATTTGTTGTGTAACCATTTCAAAAACCGGAATATACTAACAGAGTACCAAATTTGCGCGAAAACGCTTCGTAAACGTCCAAAATTTTCTGCGACACTTAACACGGCACGAAACGAACTCGTCATAGCGAAAAACGTGTTGTCTAGCATCATGGAGATGCTACTAAATGCACGAACGAGATTCTCAATGTTCGAAAAGGTGTTTCGTGATCGTTCTTCGACATATTGTACAAAACGTTCTTCTGCGTTATCTCTACCATATGGACCTGCACCGTAACCACCGTAAGAACCGTATCCTCCTAATCCACCGTAAGAAGAACCATAACCTCCTAGTCCACCATAACTGCTATAACCGCCGTAACCACCATAACCTCCTCCGTAACCTCCATATAAGGAACTACGATATGGCATACTACTATATCCGCCCATTCCTATTAAAAAAAATTAGGAAACATTTAAGAATCATCATGGGGCTTAAAAATCGACTATTCTTTTTTAATCAATGTGAAATGATCCAAAAAACACTAGGTCTAGTGTTAGTTCTACTTTTCTTTCAATAAAAATATACCACAGTCTAACGCTAAACAACATTTAAAACTAGAACTAGCACTAGACTTAGAAGTAGAAACATTCGGGTTTAGCCGTCTTGAGAGACGTGCGGCTAACCCCGAATGATTCTAGTTCTAGGTCTTCTGTTAGTTCTAATAATAGTGCTAGTGTAAAACTAGAACTAATACTAGACCAAGAATTAGAAACATTTAGCCGCACGTCTCTCAAGATGGCTAAACCCAAATGTTTCTAGTTCTAGGTCTAGTGTTAGTTCTAGTTTTAGTTCAATAAACATATACAACATAGTAATATCTTATGCTAACTAGCGCTACCTACCACTTTACCATTGCCATTAGAACTAAAACAAGACCTAGAACTAGAATCATTCGGGTTTAGCCGTCTTGAGAGACGTGCGGCTAAACCCGAATGTTTCTAGTTCTAGGTCTTGTGTTAAGTCTAGTGGCAGTGGTAAAGTGATAGGTAGTTCACCAAAACCATCACAAGACCTAAAACTAGTAGTGTACTTGTGCTAGTGTAAAACTAGAACTAACACTAGACCGAAAAATAGAAACATTCGGATTTAGCCCATTCGTCTCTCAGACGGCTAAACCTGAATGATTCTAGTTTTAGGTCTTGTGATGGTTTTGGTGATAGTGTTAGTGTAAAACTAGAACTAACACTAGACCTAGAATGTATCGGGTTTCGAAGGAAGTTCGGGTTAAAAACCCAAATGTTTCTAGTTCTAGGTCTAGTGTTAGTTCTAGTTTTAGTGCAATAAAAAAATGTAACATAGTGCTATCTTATGCTAACTAGCGCTACCTACCACTGTCACTAAAACTAACACTAGACCTAGAAACATTCGGGTTTAGCCGTGCGTCTTTCAAGATGGTTAAACTTAAATGATTCTCGTTCTGGGTTTTGTGTTAGTTCTAGTGATAGTATAAAACTAGAACTAACATTAGACATAGAAAGTATCGGGTTTAACCTAACCACAATAAGTGACGTCACTTCGAAACTTTAATGTGATTTTTCGATAAGTTTTTCACTTTTCCGCACTTTTTTTATATGTAACGGCTTACTTAAGTGATTTCCCGTCGATTAAAAGAAATTGTCGACTTTTAAGCGACATGATTCTTGAATTACACCAAAATTTATATAAACATATTACATTTATATAAAAAATTAAAAATATACCTCCGTATGAAGAATATGGGCTACTATAACTACTTCCATAACCTCCAACGCCATACGAATTTTGCATGGGACGTGGAGGTAAAGCAGGTCGAGTTGTTGAGGTCCCCATTTGTGGTATAGCAGGGTTGGGGTTGCTGGAACGCATTATGTTCGCACTATTGTTTAAAGTAGTCGATTCCCATGGTTTTATTGGGGCACTCATTTTTACGAGTGAACGATCACGATGCGACGACTTCCGCAACAAAAATCGCACTGAGCCGAAACGAAACGAACTTGCACTTTACGTTATCAGTTATCACAAAACGTTCTCGATCATACTCTTATTTATCTTGTACTCGCGCAACAACAATTTCTTGACAGACGTAAATTACTTTGACGTTTCAAAGTTCAATTAATTTTAAACGCACTCCCACGGCGATATTTTGAACTAAATATTTTAACAAAAAAAATTTAATTAAATATGATTATTAATGAATCTGGATTATTTTAGGCTTTTGAACCATAAAGTAATTTTTGCAATTTAAGATAATCCAAAATAAGTTATTCAAAGATAAATACGAATAATAAACTTGTTACTTTCATATTTTGAGGTTGGTTGTCTTTGAATTTTGTTTTGACAAGTTCTGTCAAAATTCAATCTAAAATTTTAAGGTTATGTGTAATTTAAATTAAAAAAAAACATTTATAATTTTATAATTAGAAATAAGAATAATGTCTGAAGATAACAGGTATATTTCTTTAATAATGCTTAGTTCTTAATTAATATGGAAAAATCTTAAACATTTTTATAGTAATACTCGTACTTTCGAAGAAGTTAATAACCTACTCTCTCTTGCAAAATTAAATGAAGATGATTTAATCCCAGTATCTCAAGCTGTTTATTTTTCATCGAACGTCCACGAAAATAATTTAAAATTTTTACAATTAGATAAACACTTAATGGAATGTCTAAAAGAAGGCCAATTATTATATGTAAAAGGAAACCATGATGATAGCGCCGTTATCTGCACAAAAAGTCGGACCTATAATGTAATTGAAACGGAGACCTCAAATAGTTTATTATTAGCACAAAATTTAAAGTTTCAAAAAGATTTTGATGATGAAAAAGACAAAAAAATATCAACCACTAAAATTTATGGGATTTTTAATAGTTATTTAGAAGTTTTACCAGGAAAACCACATTTAAAAAATTTAGGAACATTACTTGAAAGCACAGCTTATCGAGGTCCTGAATATGAGTCATTAATAAGGGATAAAAAATATACTTTTCAAGAATTATTAGATACCGTACAAATTTCTGAAGATGAATTAAAAGAAGCTTTAAAAAACATGCATTGTATTACAATAGAAAATATGATACGATTACTCGACTTTCAATATCATTTTCGAGTATTATCACTAATGTTGAATTTTATCGAGGAAAATTCTTGGGAATTAGATAGGGTAGATTACGAGGAAACAAGAAATGAATTAAACAATTTAATTCCAACAGAAATATTAGATTCAGTTTTTGATTATTACGCTGAAGAAACTCAATGTATCGATGGATTACAACTTTATCGTTATAATGAATACAAAGTGTGTAGATTCTTTGCAACCGTTTTATTGTCAAGCGCTGGGAAATTTAATTTGGAGGAATTTTTAACTGCTTGGGGCGAATCTGTTCCGCCAGGAATGATTGTAAATGAAGATATGTTACATGGTATTGCTATTATTGATCGGAAATCAATTCCACCTGTTATTCGAGAATTTAAAGCTGATGTTTTACCAGATAATGTTATTGAGAGGCTTAAGGTTTTGTTTGAGGTGAAAGATAAATGGACCTTTGAAGAAATCAGTCCTTATGTTGAGTAAGTTATGAATACATGTTGAACACTGTTTATGGATTTAATTATTTTTTCTTTATTAATTTTTTGTTTCAAACATTTATTTCATGTTATGTAGAATTTGTGTTTGTTTTTATAGAAAGGTATGAATTTTTTTATTTTTAATTTTAGGGGATTATTATTTAAAGATAAAGTAACAGTTTAAGTATTTCTTATTTTAGAAACATTGACTTATATAAAGTATAGGTATTACTAAACAAAGCTAATTAAGGTTGTCTTTCATATACCAGTAAACTAATGTTAGTGTACAAGGACTTAGTCCGCCATTCAAGGAAATACTAAAAAAGGTCTCAAGATTACTGTGAAATAAGGCAGCAGGTTGACAATTAGTAAGCATTATGTATGAAGTTGATGATATTGCAAATGGACATGTTGATTTAAGACTATAGTGCGTTTTCTGGATCAGACTTGTAAAGCTCCCTTGATTGGGGAGGAGTTGCACAGTCAAATTTCCAAATTAAATTTGACTGCTTGTTTCTATACAAATAAATTGTTCCTTTTGGGATTTTGTAGCCAGTTGTGTGAAAAGATAAACTGAAATATATGTATTTGATGGTCCACAGATTAAACTTCTCTTCAAAGATGAAGATTTCATTCAACAATGACAGAAAGAGTTTTTAGAAAGTAATATGCTTCTGTGCAATATTAGTAGCAAGGTGCATTTTCTCCAGTCACCTTGAAAATCTTCTTGTATGTAGGGGAAAAGCTCAATCAGCATTAAATCATCAGATAGCATGAGGAAATAGTGTGCCAGTATGCTAATTTGTTGTAGAGTAAATTTCTAATTCAATTCTCACAAATCCTGATGACTTTAAAAACTTGGGGGTGACAATGGACTCAGCGCTGTCTTGGCGGTATCAGATTCAGTCTGTTTGTAGGAAGGTCTATTTTTGTTTTCATTCTTTGCGTAAACTTGGTTGTTTTCTTCCCCTTGCTGTCCGTCGTAATCTCTGTTACTCATTAATACTGCCCCACATAGATTATGCTGATGCTGTGTATCCCGACCTGGTAATTACCCTCCGTAACAAATTAGAAAGATTGCAGAACAACTGTCTACGCTTTATTTTTGACCTGGGTAAGTATGACCATGTTACGCAATATCCTAATCACCTTCAAATGTTGACTGTCGAAAAGCGCAGATCATTCCGTATACTGACAACGCTGTATAAGATACTTTCTTCTCGGACCCCAGTATACTTGTACACGAACTTTCAATTCATGTCGTCTCGCGGTCTGCCTACTAGAGCACAGTCTGATACGTTACTTATATTTCCCATTCATCGCACCGAGAGATATCATGGATCTTTTACGGTGCAGGCTATAAAGCTTTGGAATAGTTTACCGATGGAAATACGCAACACTCGTAGTTTAATGACATTTAAGGTCTGCTTAAGGGATTATCTATTATCATTACAATTATCGGAATCTAACTATTGATATCGCCTGCTTCTCTCCTCTTTTTCTTTCTCTTCCTCTCTATCAACTGTACTCGTTGTGTTGTTTTTGCTCTTTGCTCTTTTTCTTCTTTTTGTTTAAATGTTGAATTATTTATATAGCCATATTGATTTTTTTTTACATACGTTGCTGGTTGGGTCTTTTGGAAGACATCGCATTTGGCGATAAACTGACCTTTTGTCAACATGCATTACTTATTCATTTATGTATACATATATATTATTTTTCTCTTGTATTAACTATGTGGCAATAAACGTATTATTAGAGCAGATTATTATTAGAACTTTATTTATTTATACTATTTTATCTTCTATGTATTTATTAGTATTCTACAGTTTCTTTGCGTTGATGTATTAGTAAGTAGAAAGGAACCGTTTCTTCTCTCAATCTCTTAAATTTGACATATTTGTTATAAACTTATAACTACAAAGAAGCCAGATTTAATTTACTTTAAAATATAAGTATTTTAATGGGTCAACTGGAAATTGGTTAGAGCGTGACGATATTTATGGTCTTGATTCTGTCCAATCAAAATTTGTTCTGGCCTGAAATATCTTCCTTTGTTTACTAAATCATCATCATTGGTTTTACAACCCTGGAAGGGTCTTCGTCTGCTTAAGGCTTTTCTTCCATTTCTCCTTATTACGCGCCACCGATCTCCAATTCCTCTCTTTGAGTGTCCTCACATCCTCTCAATCTCTGTCCTACCGTTGTTTGTCTAACTATTTGTTTCGTCGGTTTCATCTTTTTCATCCGTTCCACCTTCTTCATCCGTTCCACATGTGCTACCCATCTCAGTCTTCCAATTTTTATAGTTGTCACTATATCCGGTTCCTTGTATTCTTCTTACAGTTCATGGTTAAAACGTCTACGCCACTGTCCCTGATTTCTCCACATATATGTCTAAGTATCATCCTTTCAAACGTCCCCAGGAATCTTTCCTCAGCTTGTGTCATTACCCAGGTCTCTGAACCATACATTATCACTGCTCTAATGAGTGTATTATCAATTTTGCTTTTGATTTTCTTGGTTAATATGTTTGATTTCAAGTGCTTACGCAGCCCAAAGTAGGTGTTATTGCCCAGATATATTCTTTTTATTTTTGTACTTGTGTCACTTTTGTTTGTTACTAATGACCCCAGGTATACAAAACTATCAACACACTCAATGTTATAGCCATCGATTTTTAAATGTTGTGATAATCTTCTCTCCGTTCTTCGTAATTCCCTATAATATTGTAGGTACCTATAATATTTTAGGCGTTCGTACAGAACCAAAGCTAGTACGTTATGGATCTCCCTTCTTATGTAGGAGTACCAGCACCCCGATATTCCGAATCTTTGGCATCTCTATTTGTACCCATATTTCATTAACTAGTTGGGATATACAACCACATAAAGTGGCCCCACTTTCCTTTAAAAGTTTCGCCGCAATATTATCCAAACTGGGAGCTTTATAATTCTTCAGTTTTTTACAGCGTTTTTGATTTTTCCATACGTATGTACTTTCTCTCCTCTTTGATCTGACTCATCCAGCCACACTTCTTCCTCTTACGGTTGGGCATCCATATTTAAAAATTCCTCAAAATTCTTTGTCCATCTTTCCAGTATCTCTTCCCTTCTACTTACTATATTATCTGCTTTATTACGATTCTGATAGAATTTTCGAACTTGTTGTCGTGTATTCGTTTCTTTCACACTTTGCATTTCCTTTTCCATATATTCTCTCTTTCTCTTTCATGCATCTTCTTTTCTTCTCAGCCCCTGTATTCTTTATGCCTTTGTTGTAGTGCTTGTATACTACATTTTTCTTTTTTGTTATCCCTGCGCATTCCTTATCAAACCAGGTTTCATCTCGCTTTTGACATTTTTCTTTTCCCAATGTATCGTTCGTCAACTCTTCAATGCCTTTTCTATATTTAGCCCAATATTGGTTTATTTTTATTGCTATATTTATTGATCAGCTTTGTTAGTTTTTCTTCTAGTCCATCGTTTTTAAGTTTTATTGTGACATATATCTGTCTATTAGATATTCTTGCTCTTATTTTCATTTCTAAAGGATAGTGGTCCGAATCGATATTCGATCGTCTTCTGTTTCTGATGTCAAGTATGTTTGAGAAGTGCCTTGCTTCTATTAACACATGATTTATTCTGTTCGTTGTCTTTCTGCCCAGCGATACCCCCGTTCCTTTATGAATGTTTCTATGTTCGAACCACGTACCAGATATTATCATCTTTTTTTATGCTGTAAAGTGTGTTAGTCTAGTGCCGTTATCGTTAGACTCTTTGTGAAGGCTATGTCCCCCAATTGTAGTGTAATATTACATCGCTTGACCAACTTTCCCATTCATGTCCTCCACGACATTGTGTATATCATGTTTTGGACATGTTTGGACTAGATTTTCCAGGTCTGGATAGAACTCTTCTTTTTTTGTGTCTGGTTTTTCTTCGGTCGGGGCGTAATAATTGAAAAATTTTCCTTTTATCCTAAGTTTGCATAGTCTAGGTGATCGTGCTTGGGACTCTAATACATTTCCTCATATTTTTTTATTCACTATAAACCCAGTTTCCAGAAAATGGTCTTTAGGATGGCAACTATAGAATCTAGTACAGTTTTTTTTGCAAAATACTGGTTCCTGTCCATCTCATCTGTTGAATTGCGGTTATACTGGCATTGTACATTTCTAATTGTTTTAATAGGCAGTTCAGTGCTTTAGGTCTGTACAGGGATGTTACATTTCAAGAGTACCTATAAACCCAAATGATCGTCCTGTTTTCTTAGCAGTTGTTTACTAGTTTCCGTAAATTAGAAGATTAAAACCATGATACACTCAATACAGATATGTTTCTGTTTATTGTAAATTATTTGTCTCGCTTTCTTCCATTTATTAGTTCCATTGTTTGTGATAGTTGTAAAAAAGCGATTAACTCCTACTTCCTGTATGATTTTCTCATTTTCACTTGCCAAGAAAGTTGCTAAATGCTTAGACTTTGTCTGTTTGTTTATATTGTCTGACTTTGTTTATAAAAAACAGGCAATGCGGTATTTACAATACAATTGGAGATCGAATGATTTCTACATACATCTCTTGTAAACTTGCATTACAGATAGACATTGATGCTCCTTTTATTTTTGAGGTAACACATTCTTTCATTCCTTCATGCTCAGCATTCAAGATTTGATAACATGTATCGATTGGATTGGGCAGGGCCGTCTCTATAATATTTGGGGCTTGGGCCGTCTTTGTGGGGCCCTTTATAAATTTATATAAAAACGTTACGAATACTTCCTTCCAGTATGGTACTTTAGTGTTGTGTTGTGAAACTAATACTGTGTCAACAGTACCAACGTTTATATATAATATTATTTTTTATTATATGTTTCTGATGCTTGCTTTTCCGATTTCTTGCATTCCAATAGCGACAGTTCTGCTTATTTACGTATCCATTAATTTGAAAATGAGCTTCATCTGTAAGCAAGATCTTGGTAAACATTAAACAATGATCAATTGACTGGTTAACGAAGTTAAGTCTCTGATGGGTATAAGTAAGTCTCTGGAGCTTTAATTCTTGTACCAATTGGATTTTGTAGGCGTGTTGTTTTATGCCCTTGTGCAAAATGCGGAGTAACGATGATCTATGCACATTTAAAGCACTTGTGAACTTACGAATTGAAAGTTCGGATCGTCACGAACACACTGATTTACATTCTCCATAATTTCTTTCGTTCTTGATGACTTAGGTTGGTTCTAATATAATTTAATATCAAGTTATATTAGTTGGTGGGTAGACGTCTAGTCTTTGAGGAAATGATGTCAACGATGTGAATTTAATTGAGAGGGACATAGAAATTGAATAACTAGTGGTTGAGAACAGAAAAAGTCGTAGGACGATATGAATCAACAAAGATAAGCTCAGGAACAAGTACCTAAATGCCATTGTAGCGACATAGTTATGAGGTTACTTATTTACACCAATGACCTATAACTGGAGGGCTATGTGTTATGTTAATGTTCTAACTTGTTATCTGCAACTTTGAATCATAGATTATATTTTATGTAGATTTTATAGTTAATCAATCTAGAATAAAAACTGAAATTTAATTGGTTTTGGTGAATTGATAGAAATATCATATCATAATACTATTATTCGTAATTTAATAGTTGTAAACGACCTATTTAATACTATTTGATGTTGAATATATTTATTATAAAATATTTTTATTTTTTTTCTAGAAACTTAACATCCACTAATTTTGGCCCTAGTGCTCTTTTGGCTAAACATACAAGAATTTCTACTACGGATGGGGTTAAATATTATTCTTCTAAACATTCTAGGTAACATACATATATTAAGTATTTTTTAAATTAAATAAAATTAATGATTTTTTTAAAAATATTTTTGTATTAATCGAAACCTACTTATCTTAAACGTCACCTGTCATGCATGTTTTGGATACGTTCTAAAACTTTCCGCCTCTGTAAACATCTTTGAGGTTATAGATTTGTTATTTGAATTTTACAAAAAATGCCCGAACAAATTGAAGATTTCACCGATGAAATAAAAAATGGAAAAAACGCAAGGAGCGTAACATGCAAGTTCTGTTCCTCGATTATCCTCCAACCCGCAACGGCAGATATTTCCAATTTTGAGGTTAGAGCTACAAGAGACATTCTTTAAGCTGTTCATTAACTAATTATTTTTTTTAGTTTGATTTGCCCTTAATGTCACAAAGAAAAGACACCCACGTAATTGAAACGGAAAAAGTATCGCAATTTTGGACTGTCGATAACATCTACACTTTCTATAATGTGGGATTTTCAAATACAGTGGATAATAAGAAATATCTTATTTGTGGTGATTGCGAAGCAGGGCCTGTTGGTTATCATGATGTAGAAACGAAAAAAAGTTATGTTGCTTTAATTAGGATTTTACATAAATAGGTTATTTATATATGGTTTTTGAAAAATGAATACATTTTCTATACAAAGTTGTGCTTTTTGATGATAAAACCTATATAAATATTGGTTATTAGTTTAATATAGTTTTAACTATATTTTATATAAAAGAATATGTTATTAAATTAAAATATTTATTTACATAACCTTAATTAATTCATACATATTAAGGAGAGATACAAAAATATACAAATATAAAAAGAGAATATTTGGTTAAAACACTTCATAGAAAAATAATAATTTAATTTTAATATACATTTAAGTCAAGGAACAAAGTAAATAGTAAAAAAGTATTGAATTTTTGTTATCACAAAATAATCGGCAGGATTTATGTTTCGATTATGATCATTTATGGCTATTATAATTAAGATAATGAAAACATAATCATAAATTTTTTTTATCAGATCCAATTTTGATTTTCTCTTAAAACATTATATTAAAAATTAAAAAAAAATTAAGCATTGTTAACGTTTATAGTAGTTACGACGATATTTTAAGTAAATGTAGGCACTGAATATAGAGGCAGTTGCTAATAAGGAGATCATTAACGTCGTAGTAATCACGAAAGTCTTTACTGAAACGCAAACGGTTTCTTCAACATCATCAATTTTTACGATAGCTTCACCACTACTCAAATCTTCCGGTAATAAAACCCTCAATAATTTTCCAACGCGAATAGGATCTGTTAATGTTTCATTATAAACATCTCTTCTCCTTCTTCCTGGTCGAACTTTTTGATTAGGATCCGAACAAATTTCACATTTATCTTTACACAATTCTACGTTACATTCAATTAATAAATCCATGATATCCGGGAATTTAAATGCATTAAAGAAAGCGTACGCTAAAATTGGTCCGGCTGGTTCGTTCAATTTTTGGAATGCCCCGAAAAGTTTTGGTTTTATAATACAACCGTCTTCATCGCTTAAAATAATTTCACTTCTACTTTGTGTGTCTTTTGCTCTACAATCTTTAACTTGGATATCATAACCATCAGCTCCTGTTATAGATACAACAAGCGTCATTTTTTCACCAATTGGAACTAATCCATTTACTGTAGGTGCAAATGGACCTTCACCTTGTTGAATATCCAACCTAGCCATTATTGAATCACCACTAAAAGTAACGATTTCAGGTTTAAGCATACCCACACTCAACGAAGCTGTTAACGATTTCTTTAAACTTTGTTCCCAGTGACAACGTACGGCACGAACCGTATCCCAAACTTCTTGTACTCCAGCTTCGTTTTGCATGACCAAAACATTTTCCAAGTAGTTGGTGTCAACTCCTTCACCGGAACTCACTAAATCCGTTCCACATTGGTTTAGATATACCGTAAATTCGTATTTGGTTTGGCCCGAATTCTCGTTTACGTATCTACAGTCGGGTTCGTTGTAGTGACCTTTTGAATAGATTATCCCGTCGAATTGTCGATTGAATTCGACTGTAATCGTCATTTTATCTTGATCGCAAATCACGTCTAATGCGTGAATATGTGGTGGGTGGCTTAAATCGTCTTCTGTGGGTGGTTGGGATGGTTCTTTGGGTTGTTCTGGTTTTGTTGTTATGGCAGGTTGTTCTGAAAATTAAAAAATAAAATTATACTAACTTTTTTTCATTCGATGGGTTCGTAATAGAATTGAGCGATACTGCAAATGGAAGATGAAGAATGAGCCAGAGGTGATAATGATATTGAGCCAAGAAACCTCCCCATGAAGTCGTATAGCACAACTTCATTTCTCTGCTGTCTGTCATTTGAGAACCCTACGAGAAATTGCTTTTTAAGAAATTAAATCATTTAATTACAGGACCTTATTCTGATACTTATGATACTTAAGCATTAATGAAGTACCCAGAATTAAAGATATAATAGAAAATTCGAGAAGAAAACAAAATCTGCTAGTTTTTTACATATGTCGCAGTTATTTGATAATGTATGGCTAACTACAAACTGCCTGAATATGATACTGTCGCAACGTTTGCCGATGTCGTTCTGCTCATTGGAAAAGTCCATGAGAAAGCTAACAAAAAATTACAAACGGCCATAGATCAAATACTTGGACTAATGGATGGCGTGTTTAAGTTAAATGAAAACAAATCTGGTAGGATAAACTTTACTTACAAACGGAACCTACATATTCCCTTACCTTATAAAGCCTGCCAAAGACTTAGCTATTATTTCTAGAGAACAGTCGTGATGACAAAGTCACCGTGCCTTTCTCACTTGTCTGTCGCTCTATTCTAACTAAACTTTAACATCAACAGATCAGAATAAGAGCGACCCTCACCAACTACTGCATCAATTACCTACGTTTAAAAACTTAGATTTCACTGCCTGTGTGATATAAAAATATATTGGCTAGTAGGAAGAAACTACCAGTTCTCCACATATAAGAAACTGTTCCTATACAAAGAGACACCGACGCCCGTTTTCTCAAACAACTATTGAGTTGTGCAAAAGCAGTGTACAAGTTGTATAACGTTTCCAAAATAAATTATTAAGGAACATAGTCAACGCACTGCCACAACGATGATTTTGTTAGGAATGTAGAATCTGTTCTTCTTTAGGAAATTCCGCGGGAAATTCTGAGCCTGTATCATTTTTTGGCAATTCTAAATTAGTAAGAGAAATGAAGCTCATTTTGAGTCATATGTACTTGGGGATCACAAGCTTATTTGATTTTTCAAAAAGAGGCTAAGAAACAGTTATCGTATACAGGGTATTTCTGTAAGTCGTGGTATAATTTTAATCACAAATACTAGAGTCAGAATGATGACGATTCGTGTAACAATTTTTGGTCTAAACCCATCAAAGTTAAAAAATTTTTAAACATTTTCTTAAATATTTTCAATATGGTTTGTCTTAGAAAGATAAAATTTGGCAAACAGTGCAATGCTTTTTTATTATGTCATAAACCATTAACATTTCCAACTGATTCTAAAAACCTGTTTCATTTTGAAATTATTATTACTCTTATAAATTTTTGATTAGACGCATCGTTTTCGAGTTATTCACAAACCGATTTAAGTTGGTTTAAAAGAAATCTGTCAAATTATTACTCAACCTAGCATGAAATCTGGTTTTTCTTCAGTACAATTATTCTTAAACATTTCTCACATTAATGGTTAGCTGTAAAAAGTCCTTCTTTGTAAAAACGCAGCATTAATAGTACATTTTTCCATCATAGTATGGCAAAACTCTATTTGCAACGGATGATCAGCAACTTTAAATTCTTGTACTCTCGACAAATGGATGGATACAATTGCTGTTTATGTAGGACATGCCAAAACGTACCTTTAGATATTCTGAAATGTCTAAACTGTACTAGCAGTACAACGATCTGCCACAAAATACAAAATGTTTTCTTCTAGTTGGGTGTACGAACTGACCTCAGATTCCCGTTATTTACATACTTCTGTCTTAAATTTTCTGTCTCAAGTAAATGTCTTTCAATGTTTAGAAATGTTTTTCTATCAGGTTGTTTTTACTTAAAATTTGTCAAAAATCAAAAATTTTTAAGAGTGAAAATTATTTTAAAATTAAACAGGCTTTTAGAATTTAAGGGTTTATGACATAATAAAAGAGTTTTAAAGAAATAACCTCTGTGAACATCCTGTATAGCATTGATCCCGTGGTTCGATATTTCCAATAGTGATCTTAAACGATTTCTTATGATAACATTGCACTATTTGCCAAATTTAGTCTTTCTAAGACAAACCATATTGAAAATATTTAAGAAAATGTTTGAAAATTTCTTAACTTTGAAATGAAAAGTTCATCATATCTTAGCCATTTATGGGTTTAGACCAAAAAAATTTCCACGAATCGTCATCATTTTCACTCTAGTATTTTTGATTAAAATTATGCCACGACTTACAGAAACACCTGTATAGCTTATACGTATAGAGAATGATGGTGAACCAGAAGGCTTTGTAAATGAGTGAAATAGTAGAATTTGAAAAAGGAGTTATTAATTATCTAGGTTTTAACATACCTGGTTGACTACTTGGTTCTTCTGGTAATTCTTGTTCTGTAGGTTGTTCTGGTTCTTCTGGTTTTTTCTCTGGCGGTTGTTCTACGGGTTCTTCTGGCTTTTGTTGCGGCGGTTGTTCAGTTTCTTGATCACCCGGTGGTGCAGAAGTTATTAATTCTCCAGGATAATAAGGCGTTTCCTTGGTACTTCCAGTTGGACCAGAAGTATACGTTTCTGGCGTTCCATCAGATGTTTCACTTCCAGGGGACGGTTCAATAGGTTGATCTGGTCTTTCAACTGGAAATCCAGGAATAGGTTCAGGACCTATAGGTGGATAACCTGTCGGTCCAGGTTGAGAAGGTTCTTCAGAAGGTTGTTGATTTCCGGGTTCATAAGGTTTTTCAGTGTCGGTGGGTGTTGGTTGTTCAGGTTGAGGAGGTTGTTCCGGTTGAGGTTCATATGGTTTCTGGGTAGGTAAATCAAATGGTGGTTGAGGTGTTTCTCCTGATGGTGGGTATCCGGGTCTTTCAGGTTCTCCAGGAGTTGGATAACTTGGTTGTTGTGGTTCTTCTGGTTTTCCGGGATATCCTGGCTCTTCGGGTTGTCCGGGATATCCTGGTTGTTCTGGTTTACTTGGATAACCTGGTTCTTCTGGTTTTCCGGGTTGTGCAGGTTCTTCAGGTTTGCCTGGATATCCTGGTTCTTCCGGTTTTTCTGGGTAACCTGGTTCTCCTGGTTTGCCTGGATACTCTGGTTCTTCTGGTTTACCTGGATAACCTGGCTCTTCTGGTTTTCCAGGGTATCCTGGTTCTTCAGGTTTTCCAGGATAACCTGGCTCTTCTGGTTTTCCAGGATATCCCGGTTCCTCCGGTTTTCCAGGGTATCCTGGTTCTTCAGGTTTTTCTGGATATCCGGGTTCTTCCGGTTTTCCAGGATAACCTGGCTCTTCTGGTTTTCCAGGATATCCCGGTTCCTCCGGTTTTCCAGGGTATCCTGGTTCTTCAGGTTTTCCTGGATAACCTGGCTCTTCTGGTTTTCCAGGGTATCCGGGTTCTTCTGGTTTACCTGGATAACCTGGCTCTTCTGGTTTACCAGGATACCCCGGTTCTTCTGGTTTACCTGGCTCTTCTGGTTTTCCCGGATAACCTGGCTCTTCTGGTTTTCCTGGCTCTTTTGGTTGTCCGGGGTATCCAGGTTCTTCCGGTTTTCTTGGATATCCTGGTTCTTCTGGTTTACCAGGATATCCTGGTTCTTCTGGTTTACCAGGATATCCAGGTTCTTCTGGTTTTCCTGGATAACCAGGTTCCTCCGGTTTTCCAGGATATCCTGGATATCCAGGTTCTTCTGGTTTTCCTGGATATACAGGTTCTTCTGGTTTCCCCGGATATCCAGGTTCTTCTGGTTTTCCTGGATAACCAGGTTCCTCCGGTTTTCCCGGATATCCTGGATATCCAGGTTCTTCTGGTTTTTCCGGATATCCTGGATATCCAGGTTCTTCTGGTTTTCCTGGATATCCAGGTTCTTCTGGTTTCCCCGGATATCCAGGTTCTTCTGGTTTTCCTGGATAACTAGGTTCCTCCGGTTTTCCCGGATACCCAGGTTCTTCTGGTTTTCCGGGATATCCTGGTTCACCAGGCTTTGTTGGAGTTTCAGGTTGCTCCGGTTTACTAGGACCTACAAGAAAATCAGACATTTACAATTTATGTTTGTATTGAGCTGTAATAATCATTATTATTTTACCAGTTCCTGGATAACTTGGTTCTAATGGTGGGTAAATTCCTGACGGAGGCGTCGGGTATCCTATAGTATTATCTTCAGGTCGATCAGGAAATGAAGGTTCGAATGGTCTGGGTTTTTCAGTGTTAATTGGTGGCAAATATTCTCTTATTGTTCCTTGTCGAACTAAATAAATAGAAATTTTAAATATTTAACACTGTTTTTTTCCGAATATGATATTTTCAACCAATACCAATGAAAAAACTAATAGGTTACTATTTAAGCGTTGCAATCAACTCAATCTATTTTTACTCTTTACAACCATAATTATTAAAAATTGTTAAAGATAATCATGATAGAATAGCGAGCTAATAATTTACAATAACCAGGCTGTTTCTAAGAAATATAATTTCTTGGTGTAATCAATGTGTTTTGCGGAGCAATAAAACTGGAATGTTCTAAAATACAGTAACCTTTAAGATATAGAAAATGTCAGGTGAGTAAAATAATACAATATTTATATTTAGTGTATAACACCAACACCATCGTTGATGATTTGCAAGACTTTATTTAACGTTTGCGTGTTATCGTGCTTTTCACACAACTGTGACCAAGTTAACCAAGTAACCAACTTACAAAAATCATTTTCGAAATCTCCGAATTGTAAGAATGGATTTAAATCGTTCTTAAAATTTTGTTGAGTCGATCCTGTAAATGCTACAATTGATTGATAACCAATAATAATTTAATCATCTAATTTTGACAATAAAAAATATATGCTTTAATAAATTTTAGATATTTACACATTGTGATTAAAAATGTAATTAAAATTAGTTAGTAACACTAATCTAAATAGTCAATGTTTAGAATTGTTTAAGAAAGGCGTATTTACAGACTTTTTTATCAATCAATTTGTTATGATTTAGCTCGTAACTTTTAACGTACTTTTTCTGCTGTTTTGTGTATAAACTCCTTGTAACCAACGCAAGATGTTTTGAACCATTTGATCAGCGTTTGTTTGTCTTCCGATTCTGTTACCTAAAGGTATTGGTCGTTATCGAATTTATTAATTCAATTTGTAAGATTTATAAGTTGTATTTAATTTGTTACGTGAATAAGTGAAGTGAATTAAATATACAAGGTGATTCAGTTATATTGCCGATGTAAGTTTATTATTAAGTTATGTTACATGAAAAGGCAGAAACAGCAACAAGCATTTGGATCTAACCAAATGTTTTTCATATTCAATCGTAGTTAGGATAATTTATAGGTTAGAGTTAAATTTCATCATTAATTTCAAAAACGAGTACAGCAAGATTATGGACCAGTACCTTAACTTATAGATATGTGTCCCATTTATGATACTGCCATTTTATCAAAGCCTTCATCACCGAGAGATTTCAGAGTTGCGTGCTACTACAAGACTGTGTGATAAATAGTTCTCACAATCAGATACCTTTATCTGCAGCGTTGATGAACGTTGATGCTACTCAGTTGTTCCGTTCTTCTCAGAGATACATAAAACGATGATATGATCTCCTGCGCAATAACTTAAATGAAACTCCGGTGGTAATCCCTCAATTAAATTCGTGCTATCGGCGGTAATCCCTCAATTAAATTCGTGCTATCGGTGGACTGTATACAGATTTTCTGCAATTACTGTTCCAATTAAAGCTGATTCTGCATGTAACCGTTCTTACATCATACAACTTAATTTTACACGATGAGATCTCATCAGTATATTGATGTTTTCGGTTTTTCGTGATAAGTTTTTCTTGCCAAAACTTGTATCATCATCTTTTGAAATATTTGAAGTATTTTTAATGTTGAGTGGTATGATTTTTTTGATTCGAGTCCCAATGGTTATGAGTACGAATTTTAAATCAATACTAGAATTGAGTACTTCAATGCTTTGTAAGTGGCTTGTATTGTTATGACTTTGCTTTTACTTTTCACATTTTGAAGTATTTTAAAGTTTATCCATAGATGTTCCGTTCCAGTTTTCTTCATTGTGCCCGAATATACTGCAAGATGGAATTCTTGACACTTATTATTTACTATATTGCTACGCGTTACGAATGAAAATGTGTCATAGAAGAAACAAAATGGTTCATTGAAGGAAAAATTGAATCAGTTGAGCAGTATTTCCATATCAATCGTGTATAAATAAATGGGATACATGAAATCTCCAATTAGAGTAGTATGCTCGTTTGAAAGTTCTGCGAGTGATAGTCTGATAGAATGATATAATCTGGATAAATGAATTTTGACCTGTGTAACCTTGGCATTCATGAACTAACATCTGAGTACTGGTGTTCTTCTATTAGTGACAAGATTTTTGCAGATACTTCTTTGTAAATATACTTATTAACTTATTTATAGCTTATTATATATTTTTTAAGAAATTTCTGATGTGGCTCCTAGTATCCTTTGTCGGTATCAATATTCTGACCAATTTTTAATCTTCTCTGTCAGTATTGGTGTTTATGTTCTTGTGAAGAAACATTTTCCAATATTTTTAATCAGTATCACTGTTTTACATAATCTTTTATGTCAGTATTGGTGTTCTTCTATTAATGATAATGTTATTGATTTTTTTTCTTCATGTAAGTATACCTATTTTTCAACAGCAATTTCTGTCATGTTTTCGGTATTTCTAGGTCAGCATTTTTTATCAGTTACTATTCTGACATTTTAGCGTAAATTTATATGTTACTATTTGTGGTGCTGTTCTTCTACAAAATCTTTTGACAGTTTTCACACTAATTGCACGCAATGTTGGCGTTTTTAATATGCTGAAATTAATTAATACCTTCTGCACATATTTCTATTACGATTGTACTCTTTTTTGCTAGTATTTTTTATCAGTATTCCGACCTTTTTACACTTCTATGTTAGTGTTGTAGTTCTTGTGCAGATATTTTTACCAGTATTCTCCATCGTTGTCAGCGGTTTTCACTTTCCGTGCTAACTTCTGTATAATTATTGGTTCATAAAGTATTTGTTCTTCAGATACTTTTGCCAGTATTCTCTGTCAGTATTGCTGTTTTGACCTTTTGGGCTATTTTGCACAAACTTTTGAGTTACTGTTTTTGATTGCAGAATTTGTTGCTGTTTTTTCTATTTTAGTGTTGATATTCTTGTTCTTCCGCAGAAACTTTTGTCGGTATTTTCTATCAGTGTCAGTGTTTTAACCTTTTTGTATAATCATTGCAAATGTCAGTATTGATATTGTTCTATTAATGATAAAGTTTTTGATTTATACAAAAAACTTCTTTGTAAATATACTGATTTTTGTATAGAAATTTCAGTCATGGTTTTAGTATTTTTTGCCAGTATTCTTTATCAGTATCAGTTTTCCGACCATCTTGCACAACCTTCTATGTCAATGTTAGTGTTCTTACCTCTCTGCAGAAATGTCTATAGTAAGGTTTTTGGTTGGTGTCATCTGGTTTACTCTTTTTCCAAAAAAAATTTCGTTATCTACCCTTGTTCTTTATTTTATTTCCTCTAGTTCTCCACCTAGTATGTATTAGTTTTGGGCTTGCAGCTAAAGAAAAACTTTGTCATATTTACATTAAAATATCATCGAGTTAAAATATGGCCAATAACAATAGTTATTGGTATTATTAAATAAATGATTGTAAGTGCAAAAAAGTTCCATTTGCGAGTGATATTTACTCCTGATGAAGATCAGAAAAGCATTATTCCAAACGTTGTTAATTCCAATTTTCTTGAAGTTTGAAAATTGGCGATAGCCTAAGCCCCTTGTTATTTATAATATTAATGGACAGAGTAATAAAAAATACAAGAACAAGAACAAATAAATATCAAACAATAATAGGTTATAACCGTTTAGAATCAATAAAAATAGATGATTTACTATAGGCTGACAACATAGTGCTGATAGCAGATTACCATAAAAAGGCAAAGAAGTTGGTTAAAATATGGACAGAAGAAATTGAAAAGATGGGCCTAGAAATGAACGTAAATAAATGTAAAATCGTGAAAATAAATAAAAAGGAAATAAGAAATAACTCGAAAGAAATATTTATTAAGGAACAAAAGATAGAAGAAGTATCATCATATGAGTATTTGGGCAGTATAATATCACAAGATGGAACATAAGACAATAGTAAATAAAGTATTTGAAGCAAAGAATAAGGATAGGAATATTCTCCTCTTATTCTTTGCTTCAAATACTTTTTTTGCTATTGTGTTATGTTCCATCTTGATGGCCTAGGAAGAAATGGGAGGAAGGAATAACAGAAGTTGGGAAGAAGAGAGGGAAGACTCTAGTAGATGTGAAGGAATTTGCTAGGAGCCGGAGAGAGTGGAAGAGGTGGAGGAAGGAATAGGAAAAAGATTTATCCGACGCCATCAGGCATAAGGATCAGGAGAAGAAAGAAGAAGAGGGAAATTGGTCAATATTACTCTGATTTTTTTTTTGCAACTTAGTGTTTGACCAGTCTGAATCTAGACTTCTTTTCAAATCTGCACAATTACAGAGTAATTCAAAAATTTTTTGCAGTTTATAATTTGGCCATAGTATTTCTAGAAACTTACTGAGTAGTTTAAAATTTGGAAAATGTAATTTGATGTATCATGACACTTTATCATTACTCCAAACTTTTTCTGGTAGTCACGAATCTTACCGCTGTAATTTCTTAGTTTTTTTTTGCAATCCAGGTTCTGAGCAAAGTAATTCCACATATTTTCTTGCAGTTTAAATACTGACTAAGGAAATCTCAAACAATTTCTAGCAGTCCTAAATCTGAACAGTGTGATTCCACATTTTTCCTTAAAGATTTCTAATTGGTCAATGTTATTTCGAGCTTTTTTTGAAGTCTAATATCTTCCCAGCGAGAATTACAATCTTTTTGTTGCAAATTATGGTTTGACCATTAATCTCAAATTCTTTTTGCTGCTTATAATTGAGCTAAAGTACTTCTAGTAGGGATTTTTTTTTAACTTTTGCACAAATAACTGAATCACCTTATACACTAAGAAACAACATAGTAATAAACAATTTTAGTGTATTAACTTACCTTGTTCTTCCTGGCGTATTTTTCGATTATTAATAAATCGTTGATAGTTAGGGGTACCTGCCGAGACATCTTGAAAGCACGAAAAAGTCGCTAATAGCGTTAAAAATCCTAACGCTAACTGCATCCTGTAATGTAAAAAAATGCAATCATAAACTTTACAAAAGAAAAATTGTTTATTACTTTATATAATCCATAAATTTTCTCACGTAACATTGACATTTATTTAGAAATCTAGATCGACTCTCTTAGCCAACATCTCTTTTAACAATATCCACCACAGCTTATGATCATCAAAGAATTGGTGAGGTTATATAATACATTGAAATCTAGGCTATTTGTATACTCGACCATGCTTTTAAAACTCGCTCCCCGAAAGTAATAGATGTTCATTTTGCAATAGTTGCGTGAAAAGATCTCATCTACACTATTCGTGAATTACAAGAGTGTTAAAGGATGAGATCTTTCATTGTATTGTATTCTTTTGGAAGTTTTCGTTTCGTACATAACCCGGTTTAATTCAGATTCATTTCGTAATCGTTATTTAATACAATAATAAATCTAAGTTTATTACATAATTTATATATTTAAATATTTATCTTGTCTTTAATTTTATTTTTTTAAATGGTGCAATCAAACGGAAATAAGCTTAAATTAAAATGGGTTAAATAATAAATGCGTTCCTTCCGTTAATTCTACTCGTCCTGCTGTTAAAATCGTGTCAAGTTTAAATAGTTGGCTCACGGTTTGCAATCAAACTATGTGATATTGTTTCTATTGTAACTTAATAACGAATAAGTTTTTGAATGTTTTGTTTCGGACGAGATGTTCTGTATAGGAACCTTTAGAAAGTTTCAGTTTTCCTTTTCTTTAGCTTGGTTGTAAAATTACAGAAACGTTTGTTGTTTGTTAACTTACGTCATGCGATATACCGTACAAAAATAATAAAATAAGGATTATTTTCCATCGTTTTCGATTTCTTTCGCATTATTGTTTCATTTGTTTTGATCATAACCAGAAAATCGAAAATCTAACAAGAAATTTTACTGTATCACGCTTTCATCGATTTATTAACGCATTATTAGGAACAATAACCAATAAATAAACTGAACTGATTTTTTAATACAATATTTACGAGTTCATTTTTGTTAGACAATTTCGTGTATAACATTTTGTCAAAATAAGATTGATTATATTTTTCAATTCCCACTCTTTATGTTCGTTAATAGAAAACCTTGTATTTTACGATACTTTCGATTAAAACCATCCTATCGGTGGCATCAACACGGACAATTCTTTACAATTTCCATACAGAACGTGCTGAACGAAAGTCGTTTGTCGTCGATGTCGTCGTAGGTCGTCGTCTTCGACGGTACTCTCGACGTTTACCTACCTTCTGGTTAAAGTGAAGAAGTCTTTTCGCGGACTTAGAAAGTAATACAATAATAATAATGGCATTGCACAAGAGGAACTCTCACTTTAAGGTGAGAAGGAATCAAGTGGACGAGACGGTGATGCGAATTATTAATGTTCTTGTCTCAAGTACGCTAATGTCGTTAATGAACTCTGCGGTATTCAACAAGGTTTCTCTTTCTTTTAGGAAGAATTGTATAAGATTATAGCCATTTATGACTTTCATTGTCATTAAAGCAAATTTTATTATTTTATTATTTATTAAGATACTTGACTTATAAAATTTATTTTTTTGATTAATAACACTTTTTGATGATTTGAATGATTTGAAAGTGTGGTTTCGAAAAGGACAATGTAAAAATCTTCAAAATTAAAGTGAAGTTGGTTTCCTTGAACTATAATGAAATTTTGCCTAAAAACGTTTCGCAACTAGGCCAGCCTATCTTAATCAATCGTTCTCTTAATATTTACAGATAGAGAATTTAACAACGGAAATTGCCATTGCTGAATGTCTTAATACATATACAATTTTGAGTATTATGTGTGAACATTTTTTTATACTCGTTTTAAATGATTTCAAAATGAAAATTTTTTAATATTAGATTTACGGAAATATTCTTTTTTCCGAAATCTCTTTCTGAGATTATAAAAGAAAACAGACGAAGAAGATCTAAAATGTTCGAAAGAAGAATACTGAGAAGGATATTTGGACCGCGTTATACATCATTTGACTAAGCGACATTTTATCGTTTTTAGAGATTTTCATGCTGTCTGGTATGCAAAGGTGTAACTTATCTTTGAAAAAATGCAGAATACCAAAAGACCTAAAATACTATTTGTTTTAAAGGATAAAGCTAAGCGCCAATCACGTTATACTATTTCAAGTCCGATTTGTATCATACATTTAAGAATCGACTTAGATACGACACTTAGATATACCAAGAAATTCTACAATAGAAAAAATAGATGAGAAGTTTATGTCTTTTATTGTATATAGAATTTAAGTCTGCGCATCTTACGACTACGCCAGAATCACTAGGAGATGGCCAATGGTGATTTTTTATTTACTCTTAAATGTTGGGCCCATTAATGCTATGGCAATCCATAAACCTACTACGTTTTATGCCTCAGTAAAGGGGACCTAATGTCGCTTTCGTGTTTCTTGACCAATACGCCCTAAAATACCATCTCTTCAACATTGGACAAGCTGAGGATCAAACTTGTCGACTTTGCAACGACGAGTCGGAGACCGCTGAACATACTTTGTGTGAATGTGTTTGTTTGCCTGATATCTACTGACATAAAGGAAGAAGATCTTGGAGTAATACTAAGGTTCATTAAGGGGCTTTAGTTACAACAAATCTTATAGGTCGCAGTGATGAGAGGGGTCGCTCTCATCACTGAGTTATGTCATATTAAGTCATGAATATCCAATACTTAGACGCAATACTTTCGGTTAAATAGCTTGATAACCTCAGGAGTCCTCGAACTGATGTTGATCTGATATCGATGCCGTACATTGATTATCTCAAATACCATCTCTTTAAAATCATAAGCCACATGTTAAGGTTATCACTGTAAAATTTGTATCCAAAACAAAATGCAGATTTTCAATCTTTTGTATACAACGTTATACGATTTCAAGTCCGATTTGTATCATACATCTAATAATCGACTTAGATACGACACTTAGATATACCAAGAAATTCTACAATAGAAAAAATAGATGAGAAGTTTATGTCTTTTATTGTATATAGAATTTAAGTCTAACTAGTTTCGGTCTTTGGCCATCTTCAGAGACTCTACAAATAGATTAACATCTCTCATCTTATCCATTTTACAAACGACAGTGGTAGGTAGCGCTAGTTAGCATAAGATATCGCTATGTTGCATATTTTTATTGCACTAAAACTAGAACTAACACTAGACCTAGAACTAGAAATATTCGGGGGAAACCCGAAACTTTCTAATTCTAGGTCTAGTGTTAGTTAACTAACTAAATCCGAATGTCTCTCGTTCTCGGCCTAGTGTTAGTTCTAGTGGCAGTGGTAGGTAACGCTAGTTAGCATAAGATATTACTATGTTGTATATTTTTATTGAACTAAAACTAGAACGAGAACTAGAAACATTCGGGTTTAGTCGTGAAAAAAACTTTCAGTTATCAATGTACTTTAATTTTATTATTATATTCATTATCTTCATAAAATAACCTTTAAAGTGAGTCCAAACTTGATGCGTTTATCTCAAAAAACCAAAAAGTTCGAACTTTCAACTTTTAATTTTGACATATTTGTCAACTTCATAAAAATCCTTTAAAATGAGTCCAAACTCGACATATATTTAACTTTAATGTTAATGGAAACACAACCACTTCCGGTTTGAAACGTTAATCTCAATTTTGACATATTTGCCATCTTCATTAAAAAACCTTTAAAATGAGTCGATAGATGACGCACTTACCTCAAAAAGCAAAAAAGTTAGAATAACAAACATTAAATCCGAAATAAGTTAGCAACAATGAAGATAGCAATTTAATTTTTAAATATTAACACCAACCTTAATTTTTTATTTTTTTTATTATATTTTTTTTGTGACAGATATTAAGACATTTTATAAAAATTAAGAATGTGTCAAGTGACATTTCAAACCGGAAGTTAACTATAACTTCATTAATATTGAAGATAAATATGTCGTGTTTGTACTCATTTTAAAGGATTGTTAATGAAGATTACAAATATGTCAAAAGTGAGGTTGATATTTTAAACCTAAAGTTAACTATCATATAATAGAAGTTTTATAACTGAAGTTAATCTAGTGTTAGTCACTTTTCCGCACTTTCTTTTGATTTTTAACGAGTTTTTTTGGGTCATTGACTAAAAAAAATCGTCGATTTTTACGCCACATGATGATTCTTGAATTTTTCCCAAGTTTCTTAATATTTCTTTTGTTAAAAAAAAATTAAATAAATTTTAAACTGTAAATTTGTAACACTTCGTCCTTAATTTAATTTTACAACTTTTTAAAGTTTAATTTTGTAAATTAGTCTGATTTCGACTTTAATATGTGAACTTTTTAACAAAACAAAAAGATATATTAAGAAACTTGCTTGGAAAATGAATAAGATGAGAGATCTTAATCTATTTGTAGAGTTTCTCAAGATGGCCAAGGGCCGAAACTGATTAGACTTAATTCTATATAAAATAAAAACCAGTTTAAAAGTACAAAATCAAACTATAGATTATTTTCTTCAAGAATTTTTACATGAATCGTCATCATTTTGTCTCTAGTTTTAGTGATTAAATTGATGCCATGACTTACAAAAACACCCTGTATAATGGTAAAACGTAATGAGTGACCTTCTGTGCTTGTGATAGCTGTCATCAGTGTTCTGTGATAAAAATGGATAGGCACCAAACAATTTTCAATAGTTTGAGCCTGTCTATTCTGAGATGTCTTATATTTTTAGACAGATGAAAACGAAAATCCCGTTTTTGCCAACATTATTCATTTGTCGCTTAGTCAAGTGATGCATAACGCGGTCTATTTGGTCCAGTATAAGAACAAGGAAAACTCGAATGAATTTGGAACTCAATGCCCTGGTTAGTGATGCGAACATAGGCTGATTTGTTAAATCTCAGCGAATTAGATGGTTGGGACACATAAAAAGAATGGAAGACGATAGAAGTTCAAAAATCCTTACAGGATGGAAACCAAG